GCCCTTGCTGCTCGGGGGGCAAAGTCCAAGCCCCAACCCAAACGCCCGTGGCAGAGCTGGGGTCTGGTTGGAGTTTGCCCTTGGCCAACACGACGCGCTCGCCCGCGCGGACGAGGCCTTGCACCCTCATGACAACCTCGTGGCCTTCTTGGCTGACTTGTACGTCGTGACCAACCCAGGCCGTGCCCGCACAGCGCTCGACAGACCGTTGGGGAGGTCGTGACGCACTGCGGCATAGCGTCTAATCTCGGCAAGACCCGCGCCGTAGCCTCTGTGCCAGGACCGCCGCCACCGGGCATTGCCGAACTCGGCGACGATGTCTGGCGGGCCGATAAGCCAACTTAACGAACGAGGCGTGGTCGTTCTGGGCTCGCCCATTGGCCATCATCCAGATTTCATCCGAGTCATGATGATCAGGTTTCGACTCGACTCGACTCCAGATTTCATCCGCTCATGGGCAGACGAACGCATGCGCATAAAACGGCAGCTGCTCGACCACCTGCCGCAGCTGCCGGACCTCCAGTGCGCATCAGTGCGCGTGGTTGCTCCTGCACATGTGCGCATCCCCGCGCGCAAACCACGCCATCCGCACCATGCCTCCATCCCAGTCCCCGCTCACGCCAATGCCCATGACGAGTCTACCTGCTGCGACGCCACGCTTGTGTCATCGCTGACCCGCACAGGTCAAACAGCCGTGCGGGGATGCAGACGACGGCGCGGGCGCAAGCAGAGGGCATACCCCGAACTCACGCGCGGCGGGCCACAGCGCCTGGTCGTGCTGGGGACGGAGGTCGGCGGACGATGGAACGCGCAGGCGCTCTGTTTCTTGCGGGACCTCGTCCACCTTCGCGCGCAACGCGCGCGGAGGCTGGTCCAGGCGATGGCAAGGCATCATCTCCGTCGCAGTCCAACAGGCCGTCGTGGGCACGGCCCGAGGTCGCACGTGGCCAGCCCTGCCGCACCAGGAATCTAGGCCCAGCCTGGTCCCAGCCTGGTCAGGGTGCTGGACCTCGCCGGAGGCGCTGGGGCAAATCGGCTGCCGCTGCGGCCGTAGGAGCTCGCGCGCCGTAGGGGCATGGACACATATGGACACCACAGGCAGCCAGAAAAAGGAGCGAAGAACAAAAAAAAAACAGCCGGAACCGAAGGTCAAGTCGTGCCACAGCAACGGTTCGCCTACACGATGGGCCCGGGCATGCGTCCAGACGACCGCAGACGCCTCGACATGGTCGTGTACGGAGCCGCGCGACTCACCCGGTGCGGTGGAAAACCATGCGGGGAGCAAAAAGCTTTTCCGTTGTTACCGGCGAGGTCGAGCGAGGCGCGGGGGTCGAGGCCAACCTGGGCAAGACGCGAGTCTACAACGCGGCAGGCGGGGACGCCTCGGCCGGTATCGACGACCTGGGCCGGGACGTTTGGTGTGGCAACCTGCCCCCAGCGCAGCGTGGCTTCGTCGCCCTGGGAGTGCCCATCGGTCACCCCGACTTCGTCGCCGCCCAGGCCGCTGACCGCCTTGCTGCCCAGGACGACTAGCTCCGGAAATTAGAGCGCCTCCCCGACCTCCAGAGCGCCTGGCTGTTGCTCGCTTTCTGCGCGGCGCCCCGCGCGCAGCATCTACTCCGCAACATCCCCCCTGCAGACATACTGCCGTACGCTCGCGCGCACGACGATGCGGTCTGGGCCGTCGTTCAAGGTCTGCTGGGCGACCAGGGACCCGGCGAAGGGGACGCCTGGGCGGCTGCTCGCAGCCTTGCCTTTTTGCCGCCGAGCCTGGGAGGTCTTGGCCTCTTCGCAGCTGAGCGGGTAGCGCCAGTAGCATATTGGGCGGCGTGGGCAGATGCGCTCCTGGTGTTGCGCCAACGTTACCCCGACGCAGCGGACAGGCTCGTGCGCGAGCTCGAGGGCGCACCGTCGGCACCAGTAGTAGTAGTAGTAGTTGCTGGTGCGGTAGAGGTTCGCCCCGACGAGGCGCGCACCGTCGGCACCTTGCCTGCACGCAGCTGCGGAGGCGGCGCGCTAGCTTACTGCGGAGGACTGGGAGAGCATACCCGACTGGGAGTCTTGCGCCCGAGGCGCTGACGTCCCAGCGGCCGGCTACCTAGACTCCTAGGGAGTGCTAGCGAAGCGGCAGCCGACTGGGGGCGCTCGCACTCGCCAGGTCGAGCACGTCGCTCAACGGGAGCGTGTCATAGCGTGTCTGACGCGCCAGGCAGCGGCGGCATGGTCCACACGCCAAGCGCGGAGCTGGCGACTGCTCGCTGCAGGGCAACCGACAACACACTCCACCAGCGGCGCACCCAGCCCTGGGTGGCTGAGGCGCGCAGGGGTGGCGGGGCGCGCTGGAAGCGGAGCCGGAGCAGGGTGCGGAGGAACTGTTGGCACTCGTCGCTCCATCGGCCCCCTACTTCAGCAGCGACGACAACCAGCGCTGAGGCCCTCGCGTCAGCTCCGGGTACCGTGCGACCTTGCGCCTGCGCGCCGTAACAAGCGCGACCCCCGCCTCGGCCCCGGGGACGGGCCGACCAGTCCGAGTCAGAGGGGAGACGAGCGTAGCGTCGCAGCACAAGGCCTCGCCATTGGTCGTTGCCCCGTACACAACGAAGTCGAGGCGGCGACGGTCGTCGTTACGGATGTGCGCCGCAGGGTGCGCAACAGCCACTGCTGCGGTACGACGCGACCCTCAGGACCGACTGCCTCGCTCCACGACGAATCCGCGTCGAGGCAGCAGACCCGTGCAGGCGAGGTGGTGGTCTCCATACGCATCGACCGCGCCCCCACGACCATATGGCCTGCCGCTCCACAGCGCCGGTCCGTGAGGGGCAGGGGCAAGCGAAGGCGGCGCCGCATTGCGACGTGCATGAGGTCCGGTGCGAGGGTGGACGCCGCATCCGAAGGTATCGCGGCTAGCCACATACCGGCACGCGGACCGGATCGAGAGTGGAGGAGGGTTCGAGCGGCAGGAGCCAAGGCCGGAAGCAACGTGCGTTCTCGGAAGGAAATGTGAAGTGCGAGAATGGCATGTCGCTGCCAACCAGGGCTTCCGAGGCCGAGTTCGCCCTCAGGTTGGGACTCGGGACGCTTTCGGCGGACGCAAAAAGGCGCGAAAAAAAAAAAGAGCTTCCAGCCTCGTAGCCCAATATCCCTTGATTAAAGAATATTCCATATATCATGTTAAGGATCCCTATGTAAATTACACAATATTCCATAATTAAGGGATATTGGGCTCTTTGGGTTTGCTGCGGTGACGTTCGCTGTGAGATTAGCTCAAGCCCTGTCCGCATGGCCGTACGAAGGGCCCCGCGCGGGCAGGCAGCCCCTGAAGGGTGAGAGTGCGGCAGCGGAAGGTGTTTTCGAGGCAGATGTCGTCCAAGGAAGCTATAAGCCAATGCCCGGCCACTCGGCGTTGCGCGGCAGTGCCACCCGATTGAGACAAAGGCTAGGGTCATCCTGGGCAGTGTTTGCTTTTGGCGGGGGAGCTGGACGGTCGTCATCCGCCAGCTGACGTCCGCGCCCGCGCTCGCGCCCGCGACCGCCACGCCGCCTGCGCCGCCAGCGTGGGAGCTGACTCGACGACCAGAACAGAATTAACGCAGGGATCCGTTTGGTTCCAACGTGTGCCCTGACCTTCAAACGTGGCCGACGAGCCTTCAAAGCACCCGAGGCTCAAGTCGCACCTCTATTGGTGCTGCAGTATTGGTTAGGGTAGCATGTCGCCATGGAACGCAGGCATGTCATGTTGAGTGACGCATGTTCTCTGCAAGATGAAAGTGCATGGCTGAGAACCTGGCTTGCTCGCTACTGGCTATCATGGAGCCAAATCCTGTGATAAGCCTACAATCCCCGAAATGATAAGCTCATATAAGCTCTATCAGCCTCGGTTAGCCAAATTTGCCGGCTGATAACTTACTATTTACTATCAGCCGCTGGTAGCCGTAACAGCCTCAAAAACGGAGCTGATAGATGATCTGGGAATGGGGCGTTGAGGGGGCGGCGGTCCTGAGGGCGGTGGGGGCAGGCGTGCGTTGAGACCTTTTAGCAGTGCCATCAGGGATGGTCAAAGAGGAAACGGGGGGGTTACCGGTTGCGTGGGCTGGTGGGGAGCGCTTGAAAGGGAGGGGGGGGGGTCTGGGCGTCTGTGTGAGGGCAGTGCGGGAACAAAGGCTGGCGCCGACCCCCGGCGGGTAAGCATTGCGAGCCCGAAGGCAAAGCCCAAATGCAAAGTTGGGACGACTGTTTCTTCGGATGGCTTGTGCCACAGCGCTGCCCGCAACGACTGATTTTTTGTTTGGGCTTCGGCCCGTTCATGCTTGTGAAGGACTTTCTTGAGACAATCCAACGACTGCAGCTCCTGTATACGCTGCCCTTTCCCGGAAAGTCATGCTAGTCATGCTGGATGTCGGTTCGGGTGACTACTGGGTGGGTCATAGCCCGATTTTCACATCGTAAACCGAAATCCTGCAGTGCCTCCAAAGCCAAGCCAAGCCTCTTCAAAGGGCACACGTATCCCAACTTTTTCAAGCCGGTTGCGTCCCCGGAATCGGCGAGGTGGCTAGAGACACCCTGTCTCCAGAGTCAATTTTTTTCTTGGGCCGATAAGACGGTCTCCTCCGTGGCCACTGGCCCCAGTCGTTTGCGACGCTATCGCCTTAGCCTTAGGTACAGGCCTTCCGCATACTGCCGCCATGTTCGCGGCCGCTCGCCTGGCCGAGCCTCGTCAGCGTTGCAGAACAGTTGTGCTGCTTGCTCTTTGAATCCCATGAATCCCCCACGCCGCGTTGCCCATGCAGGCCCTGACTCTGGCATCAGCCAGCGCTTTGGGTGCGCTTGCTGTTTGCGAGCGGGAGGGCTGCGAGCAGGCGGTGCTGCTGCAGATCACCAAGTCCGACTCAGACTCCGCAAAGTCGCTGTGGCCCTTCTCGAGCCTCGTGCAGGACGCAGCACAGCATGAGGCAGAGCTGGATCAGAAGAAGCTGGAGGAGGTGCACAAGGTCCATGCAGACATGGAGGCTCTGGCCAAACAGAAGCTTGTAGAGTTGGAGTCGAGGAACCTCAGCGACTACAACCTGACGCAAGAGGACTTCGGCCTGAGCAACAGCACTCTGACTCTCCTGGACACGGTGCTCACGGAGATGGACAGCCTGCTTTCGCAGATCAACGCCTCGCACCTCGCGGACGAGCAGCTGCTCCTGGACCTCGCCCAGGGCTTCGTGCAGTGCAACACCGACCTGGCGGCTCGGCAGGTGGAGAGCAACAACCTGAGCAGCCTGGTGAACGATGCCAGCGACTCCCACGACAACTGCCGCAGCACCGAGCAAAACTTGTCGGCGCAGAACGCCAGCGCCTGGGAAGCCTACCTCTCCAAAGCCAACGAATCACAGCCGCAGGAGGTGTTGGATTGTCTGCAGAACTTCCACAACGCATATAGCCCGCAGACGATCGACCTAGTCGCGCACCTGCAGGCGATGATTGATTGCGCGACCACCTTGCAGTCGTGGTCCACAGCCTTCGTGGCTAACGTGACAGGCCTTCGGGACGCCTACTTTGGCAGCCTGCACGCCGTGAACAACCACAGCGAAAACTGCCGGGTGAACCAGTCCACTTTGGAAAGCCACTTCTGCGAGTACCGGCAGCAGCTCACTGACAGCTGCTTCGCCATGGATGACTGCTACCAGAATGTCAACGAGACCTTTCATGAGCTCCTCGTCACAATTGCCGCCTCCGACTCGCGCCGTGAGGCCTCCTTCATCGCGGCCACGAAGGTGGTTTGCTACATCCAAGTCCTGAAGGCGAACCTTACGCAGCCCGCTGTGCAGGCTTGCCAGGACCTTGTCGTTGACACCGCCGGCCTCGACGTGCGTATTCCCGTGCCCGCAACAAAGCACGCCTGCGACACGTCGCCCGTTGCCGACTACCCCTGCAGCATGGCTTGGCAGCAGGAGGAGTACTACGACAAAAACTGGTACAGCGGCACGCCGCAAATCGAGCCCGACACCTGCCCGGGGCCCAGGCGACCTCCCCGAACCCTGTGGCCTCGTTCCCCTCCCCGCGCTCCGTCACAACACTTTGATTTGTTGAACCCTTCTGCCCTGACTTTGGAGCGCTTCCACAAAGTCCTGATGCACAAGATACACTTTTGCCATTTTTCTGCAGCTGCCATCAGCTGCCATCAAAGTACTTACAGAGCCCTGTTGTTGCACTGCCCCAACGATCCCAACGGTATTGGTACCCTAGGCACCGTACGTGCGAGCATGTTTGCTGGTCATTTCCTGTAAGGGGGCCCAGGCATATCATGCGCTGTTTGGAATGCACCGCCGACGACGACCGCCCCAAATGCACGGGTCCTGGATCATGTTCTTCAGAGTGCGGATTGGTTGACCAGCCTTGTGTAAAGTCGCACAGGGGGTGCATGCCTTTGGGGATTTACACATAGCTATTTTTTTTCAGGTTGGGAAGGTGCATATGCATTGACCCGCCACAGCGTGACCTTGGGGAAATACTTGTTCAACTCATGTTATCGAGATTGGGACGGCATGCATTTTATGGGGCCTGCAGGGCAGTGAACGGTGGTGGGTTGTGACTCGACCAACCGCTCATGAATTGGTGCTTCGGCGGAGGGTGTTTCTACGCTTCCTCGCGACATTGCGTACTCAGAGTACTCTACCCTGGAGCCCGCAGTGGCTCTGCAAGTCTGAAGTACTGTACCCCGCATCAAAGTGTACCCTGAACACCAAGTCCTCCTCAACGCTGAAAGCTTGAAGCAGAAACCTGAGTGAAGCTGCTCTGGCGTGCTGCAGTCCCACATGGCTGTATATTCTCTGCCAATGCCAACGATGCTCAAACTCGACAAGTGTTCATCATGCTGTTACCGAGGCTTGGGAACTGCTGCTGGATGGTAGCGGCCCACCCCCCCGTGCATACGCGGCAATGTGCGCAGGTGAGGGCTGTGTTTCGAAGGTCTGCAGAGGCTAGTCGGCTGCAAGGTGAGAGGAAGATCTTGCCTATAGAGCAGCCTGCCAGGCAGTGGTGGAAAGGTCTATTTGTTTGGCGGCTCCAATGGCACCGCATCCGAGCCCGGGAGGTTGAACGACACTTGGGTGCTGGATCTGTCCAGCACCCCCAGCTGGACGAAGGTGAATGTGGCGCCAGGCTCGGCACCAGCTGCGGCCTCAGTTTCCTTCAGCTGATCATGCTCTCATGTGGAGTCAAGGTGTAGCGCTAGGCCAGCAGATTGCGTCACAGAGTTCCAGCCTGACAGGACGAACGGAACGGGGTCACCATGGTCTGCACTGGGGATAGTCTGCTGGTCTTCGGAGGAAAAACCCCGGATAACGTGCAACAGAATGATCTCTGGAAGCTCACGTTGGCAAACAGCACCTGGGAAAAGTTGATGCCCAGCGGCACTCTGCCCCCCACGAGGTTTTTACACACGGCTGTCTGGAACCCTGATGGCCAGACCATGCTTGTGTACGCAGGACACTGGGATTTAGACGACCTGTGGAGCTACAACTTGACGAGTAACTCGTGGACCCAGCTCCTCTCTGACCCGCTGGGCTCGAGATATGATCATGTGGCCGTCTGGAACCCAGTTGACAAGATCATGCTCGTCTCCGGGGGCAGCCGCAGAACGCCGGCGGGGAATGTGGATTGGTTTCGGAGCAACGACCTTATGTCCTATGACCCGGCAACAAACACTTGGAAAGAGCTGATCCCGCACGGAACTTTGACCGCACCCCAAGGCCGTCATAGAGCCTGTGCCGTCTGGAACACGGCCGCGCAGGCAATGGTACTCTTCGGAGGCAGCAACGGATCCAACCTCAACGACACCTGGGAGTACAAGGCGGGCTCGAACTGGACGGAGCTCGTCCCCACGGCCAGTCCGTCGACCCGTCGAGCGCAGCAATGCGCTTGGGCTTCTACTCAGGCCACGGGGGGTGTTAAACTCTCGAGTACCATAGTAAGATTCTTGCAGATCGATTCCAGTAAGGTCATGGTCGTCTTCAGCGGGTATGGTTCCGATTACTTGGCTGACACCTGGCAGTACGCACCCTAAGGCATTTGAGACGGCCGTGGATATTCTTTCTCAGCATGCGAACGCGCGCTTTTAAGCCATAGTGCAAATGTCAGCAGGGACGTGGAGAGGGATAGCGCTGTTGCAAGTATTTTTTGCTTGAGCCAGGATGTGGTTTCTCTGTTGAACCATGCTGACACAATTTTGGAAATGTGCTGACGCAATTTTGGAAATATGCTGACACAGGTTTGGCCCAGTTGACGTTGGAAAAGTTTGACGGGCGTATTTTAACTTAATGTTTGCCAAGCAGCAACGATGGACCACTGATGCCACGGACACCTTATGGGCAGCGCGGAAGAACATGAGCCGTTGTGGAAGGATTCTGCCGTGAGCAGCTCCAGGCTCTTTCGGCCACGTTGCTGGTATTCTTGGACCCTCTGTTGGTGTTGCTCCCCCTTCGTAATAGGGAAAAATATAGGAGATTCTCTATAGGCGGGTCGGAATCTCTATGGCACTTCTTAAAAAGCACACCCCTATTCAAGCTGTCAAATTTGTCTGCATAGAGCGTGTGCCTACTAAAGAGATCTAAAGAGGGCCCAACATGCCAGGCATCATCAAGAAGCCAAAAACGAAAACCTGACGTTTTTCAGATTGGAGTGAGTGTATTGCCAGCGTAAAGCGCAGGCAGTGCATCGGATCAAATTGTTTGCAGAACGGCGTTGCTTCGCAGGAAAGCAGAAAAGTCCAGTGCCTGGATCTTGAATGAGTCTTTGTCTAAATTGCATATATTACATTGAGAGCTTCTTGTATCCCAAACTAGTTGTGAATGCACAGTCTTTTCGGCCCTGGCTTTCCGAATCTCCGAGGCCGATAGGCCAGCGGAACGTGGTTTACGCGACTTGGGCGACCACAATACTTCAGATTCAGTGAAGTATGAGGTACTAAACATTATAGGATTAGTCTGGCACGAATTAAATTGCGATTGGGGTGTATAATTCGTAGGTCTTTATATATATATATATATATATTCATGTCCATACAGGGCTGTGGGTTCGGCAGCGTTTGCCTTAACGGCAGTCCCGCCGGATGGCCGTTCTTGTCTCGCGGGCCTTTTGGCTCTGTGTGCGGGCTAGATTGTGGACTCCCCAAGATTCGGAAAATTTAAGTTGTTTTCTTAAAGTCGTGGAAGTTTGTGGAATTCTCGAATTAACCCTAGAACTGTTTGGGAATGCCCAACCCTAGAATATTACTAGAGAGGCTTTAGGAATATCTGGCCCCTAGAGAGGCCTTCGAGAGGCCAACATCCCTAGATAGAGAATCCCTTGCAATACTCGGAAAATATGAGCTCAAACTTGTAACTGGGGTGAGCAGCGCAAAACAATCAGAAACAGCTGAATCGCTCATTCTGATACACCCGGGAATGGCAGATGCGTGCCGCAGACCTCTTGACGCGAGGACACCTGCGCTAACACACTCACAGATAGCACACCACCCACACACACACCCACACCCACACCCATACCCACACCCACACCCGCACCCGCACGCACGCACGCACGAACGCACGAACGCACGAACGCACGAACGCACGAACGCACGAACGCGCGCATGCGTGCATGCGCGAACGCACGCACGCGCGCACGCGCGCATGCGCGCGCGCACGCGCACTCACACGCACACCCACAGTCACAGTCACAGTCACACTCACACTCACACTCACACATCACATTCAGTTCCTGAGATGGCATGGCGGCAGTACGGCATGCATGAAGCTGGATCTCGGAAACAGCGGCCAGGCGCGACTGTTCTGAAGCACTGACTGGTGGGGTTCTACAAGATCGCTGCTCCATCCTTGTTGTTGATGCAAGCACCTCTCAACATATGTGTATATATATATATATATGTATGCGTGCGTGCGTGCGTGCGTGCGTGCGTGCGTGCGTGTGTGTGTGTGTGTGTGTGTGTGTGTGTGTGTGTGTGTGTGTGGGCGTGTGTGTGTGTGTGTGTGTGTGTGTGTGTGTGTGTGTGTGTGTGTGTGTGTGTGTGTGTGTGTGTGTGTGTGTGTGTGTGTGTGTGTGTGTGTGTGTGTGTGTGTGTGTGTGTGTGCGCGTGTGCGTGGGTGTTTTTCACTCTGTCACCGAGAGTTTTGCAGAATCTTTGCAGGGAGCACAGGCCCATCATGGATACCCGTGCCAACGAAAATATTCCATGATGGGGGAAGGGTAACCTGATCAGTCACCTGTACCTGCGAACTACCCAAAGCACCTTCAAAGCTATTGCTTTGTTTTGGGCAGATACTGTTCAGTTTCGCTATGGCGCCCCCCCCCCCCCCTTTCACATGTGGTTCAGCCTGCACATCCCCCGGAAGGGGGGAGGGGGGGGGAGGGGGGCGGAGGGGTGGGGGGGGGGGGAGTTCTGCTCGTTCCCACCAATTCTGGAATTGTTCCAGACCACTTACGGTTACCGTGGGGGCGGTTCCATAATTGTTGCCTGACCCTAGACTGACCTTTTTCCCCTGGATTCTAAGTCCGATCTTCATCCGTCCTCGTCCGCTCCTCGCCGGTCTCTCAGTCAGGGAATCCTGCCAAGTATCCCTGGAGTGCCCAACCCCCAAAAACCACGCAAAGAATCCCGCCGAGTGTTCATGGAGTGCCCAACCACCAACAGTGCCCAACCCCCAAGAATCCCGCAGAGAATCCCCAACCAACCCCGCTCATCCTAATGCACGCCCTCGTGGCCCTTCAAACATGCAGAAACACTGTGAATATCTTGTTTTTCCATGCGTTTTTTTTTCTAAACGCTTCCCCCGTCGGTGTCCGTGAGACCCCAAAGACGCGCATCATTGACGCCGTGGGCTCGATGATGCTCAGGTAGATTGCATCCTCCATGGCTCTATCGCAAAGAAGTACAGGCTCTAACCAAAACTAAACTAAAACTTGGTACATAAATCATATACACATACAATTTTCGTGCCCGCAGATGCACATCAACATGTTTCGCAGTGCTTCCCTAAACCCTGGGCCTGATTGCTCCTGACTGTTTTCAAAGTACTTTGCTAAATCCTGGTCTCTGCAACATAAGAGTGCATGGCTGATGACCTGGCTTGCTCGCAAAAAACAAATGGCGCGCGTGCGGGTGTAGTGGCAAAGCGCGAGGGCTGTGACTACTGTGTGTCGCAGTGCATGCAGGCCGAGTGTTGCCAGCGGGGTCATTTGCATGCATGCCGTGCTGCACAAATACGACCTCGGCCCGAAGCACAGACCCAACGCTATTTTGTCCAGAAACGAAAAAGGCAGTGAAACATTGAGCTCACGAACATGTTGCGAAAGAAATGGGAGCAGCAGAATTCTTTCTGCATCTGCATGACTGGAGGAATTCCAAACTACCGCAGAGTTGAAGACTAACAACGCGTCGATGCGCCCAAAGAGAGGATTGCAAGGGGAAGTGGTCCGTTAAGCGGTTGCAGCTATCTATATCATGGGCGTAGCTTTGCGATTGCGGTGTTAACAATGTGCGGCGCCGACCATTACAACTGCCTGGTGCCCACTTGCGGCTCAAGCCTGCCAACCAGGCTAGTTGCAGGCTGAATTGTGCCAAGGCTAAGACCTTGGAGCTATGACAAGGCTCCGGCAAGGTCTTTGCCGATGTTTGCTGGTCGGCGTGGTTCTAGCGGTCCTTCCTGGCTGCACGTGGGTTCCAGGGACCGGGGTGAGACCTAGTTCACGCCAGCTTGTCGCAAGACCAGCGTACAAACCCATCTTGCGGCGAGATCCAACAATAAATCAGAACATGCAAAAGTGGATGGGTCAGCAGCTCCGCCTGGTGAAGCGCCAGGAGGCAGGTGGCTTCTCCAATCCCACAGAGAGGAAACAACTATATTTGAAAAAACTTGGCTTGGACAAAAAAGCCGATGAGATTGAACAAAAGAAGCAACGTCCCCCGTGGCATTTGCCGCACATTGTGGCCGGCGACAAATTTATTGGCAACTTCCAGCATCCGGACCTATACAGAGGTGAGCAATTGGACTTGAAATTCACAGCAACGTCAGACACAGAGGCCACCATCTTTTCCAGACGAGGCGACATCGACGACATAGTGACGTTCAAGCAAGATTATCCTATCGCCTTTGAACCGGGTGAACAGAAAGATCAGGATATGACGGCGTATGCTTTCCACAAGTTCAACGAGAAGTGGCGCGACTTCGAGCAGCCAATGCCGAAAGAGGAGGATTGCCAACACATGTCATTGCCAATGCTGCAACAGTTCTTCAGACAGGTGCCTTCAGCATGCAAAGTGGCATTGCTGTGTTGTTCTCGTGCTTCATCAACATTGCGTGCCCTTGCTCGCATAATCTAAGTTTGTGACGGCTAACTGCAGGTGGCAAATGTCGAAGGATTCCCATCCGAGAGTGAGTATGCGGAGAACTGTGCAGATTCAAGCAAAGGCATGACGCGTGAGGATGCGCGGGTAGTAAGTGAGTTGAAACCTTGCAATGTATCATAGTTTGGATGCATCACTTCATCATACCTCGCTCCAGGAGTTCCTGAAGTACCTGCGTGCGGAATCGCAGGACTATTTGGAGCCTGGGCGTATTAAGGACAAAAAGTTGCCTCACATCGTTCTGTTTTGGGGTCATGGGCGGCGCGCGATGGAAGAACATGTGAGGAGAAAGGTTTCAAGGGCATTTTCACTGGACGACGCCTCCAGTTCACCGATGGCAAGCTGGCATTTGACGGCGACTTCCAAACAATCGGGGACAACTTAATATATGGTACCGCGGATGCAAGAAGAACGTAGTGCTGATGAATGGGTTCGTGTTGACCTGGTCATGGCAGCCCAGCGCTGTCCATAATTTCATGATCTCAGGCTTTGTCACGCTGGGCGGCGAGCCTGGCGGAACCTTTTCACTGGAGCTGCCTCTTGTCAAGCAGCCTTTCTGGTGGTACGGTCTTGCCTGCAGGATATTTGGCGAGTTTGCTTGCTCAGTTGTTGGAGACTTGCTGAGGGTGAAAAAGAAGAATTGAAGAAGGAGGCTGTCTGATAGAGTGACGCATTGGCCGGTCATTTCAATTACGCCATAGACATAGGTACAAATTTTCATCTGCCCTGCCTAGGCAGAAAATGAGTGCAAGCTGGAGCACAGCCTTTTTGCATGTTTGCTTTTGCTGTGTAGCCAGCCCAAGATGCCCTAACAAGACGTGTGTTTCCATTGCCTGCCGCATCCACTCTTGGCTTCCAGCTCGAGAATCGGGCCCGGCGGCAATGTGCCGCCAGGGGCAGCGCATGCGACGTCCCGACTCGGCAGCCGAGCGGCGGCATGCCCGCTTGCTCTTGACATGGGTGTCCTTTGTTCTGGTCACTCGTACCAAGGTGGATGTCGCAGCCAGTCAGCGTTTGTCGCTGATGACACATGGAGTATCATAGATTGCTGGCAGGCAGAAAGTTGGAAGCTCGCGGCTGGAAGCCTCGAATTTGGTCTTCATGCGTCGCAGAGAGCTTTGCAGGAGGCCTACGTGGAATGGAGGCCCTGAACCCCCGCACACAGCCCGTGCCTGTCAGACGGCTGACGATTTCGCACTGCAAAGCTTGCAGGCCCGAAGCGAAGACATCCGAGCAATGCAGCCAAATCTGCACTAAGCTGCAACACTGGCGATTCTAAGATCTTGAGCTTGGTGCGTGCTTGCAGGCAACCGACTGACTTTGCACCCCTTGTTTGACATCGAGACAAGTCTGCCAGACAGGTGGGAAGTTTGATGCATGAGTTTAGTTTGTCTAGCTTCACCCGCAGAGGGGGGGTGGATTGCTCTTTCGGGTTACGCAGGGTCAACTCGTCGCAGTGTGCCTCGGCTTTGGGCATTTTGCCCGCCAAGTGCTAAATAGCGCGAATCATCAGTCGCCCTAACTTCATGTTGCGATTGTCGCGGCTTCAGCCGAGGCATCCTTCATGAGTCTCCGGCGGTGGAAATGAACAGACTCACGGTTCAGGTCGACTGCCCGCAGCACGGCACACACTGATGTGTAGCTGAGGCGGTAGATCTGCTTTCTTTGTCGTTCTGGAAGCATGTCGAAATATGGCGGAGCCTGTTTGATTATTAGCTGCCTGCTGTTTGCGCTCATCGTGAGGCATGACCTTAAAGTCCGGTGGGGCGTCGAGATACACGCCCTTGACAGCAATGATGGCGGAGCTTTCCTAAGATTTGCTGTGAACCTCTCTGCGTCCGGCCATGCCCATCCAACATCACTGGCATTGCTAGCTGTGCATGGCACGCAGAATGCTGCTGCAAGCTGCGGGAAAGCAGTGTCGACCGGTACCGTGGATGGATCGCCCGTCTTGTTCGACCGCCGCTTCTTCGTTGCAATGGAGCACCCCCTTGCAGATCATGACTTGAACAAGACCTTTGGCATGGACCTGTTCGGGCGTGTCAAGCATTTGGCATCCATGAACTGGGAGCACCAGAGCTTTGCTTTCGGCGCCGTGATAGGTGCCTTCGCGGAAGAGATCCAAGCGCGTCGTATGTTCAACCAGTATTTGTCACATTCTCGGCCGCAATCCTGGCAAGGGCCGCTTGTGCACTACAACAGCTGGTACGACTTCACTTCTTGGCAGGACCAGTCCTTCTTCGACCCACGGCGTGCAGCCTCAGTCCAGCAACGCCTTTGGCTGGCGGAACTGTTAGGCGAATTGTCGCAAGACCAAATGAACGAGACATCTGCTCTGCGCAAGATTGACATATTTCATGAGGAGCTGGCTGGCAAGCGCGGAGTACAGATTGATTCTTTCTTGTGGGATGATGGTTGGGATGACCCCCAACGAGGGATGTGGGCCTTCAACGTGGACCGATTCCCAAACGGCTTTCAGAACCTAGTCCGGGCAGCTGACTCAAGGAACTGTCGTTTGCTTGCAGTTCCGAGTTGTGTGGGGATCTTTTGGGACCTTAGGCCCCGAATGGCTTTCGGCAGACTGCATAGGAGCATTTGAGCCGAGGCAGCAACGGCATTTGGCTTTCGCCCTGGGGTGGCTATGGGGAGGCAAAGGACGTGCGAGTAGCTGAAGCTAAACGTCAAGGCCTGGAAGTTAACGAGCAACCTGGCAGTGACAGACGTGTCCAGGAAGCTTATGCCCAGGCATCATAGTTGTGGTCGATGCCGCACGGAGCAAGCGGTTCCTCTATGTTTAGCGCCCCTTTCCTCCCCTCCTGTGTGCCAGCTTGAGCAAGACACTTGGTCATTTTCGATTCCTTGCTCGTTAAGGCATGGCCTCTCTCTGGCAGGCAGGCTTTGACTCTTTACTGTCAAGCTGAAGTTTCGGTGTTTTGGCGGCCTACGCACTGAACTTGCGCGTGTTTGGTGCTTGCTGATGTTCCGGGCTCATCTCGGATCCGGGAGGCCCTCGGTATAGAGAGCAACTTTGCGGCAAAAGTCTCGGATGCAAGATATTCCCAAACGTCTGTTGCGGCTTTCGCGTTGATTCCTTTGATGCTGTGTTGTTGTAGGAAAGTAGGCCCTCTCTCTCACTCTTACGTTGGAGAGCTGTGATATCTGTGTGCACTTTCTCTTGGTGGGCGGAGGAAGTTCACAGCAGCAGCGGCAAGTTTCCGACACGAAGCAGGTGTGAACTTGTTCAAGTTGCTGGTCAGCATTTATCCTGGTAACCTGCTTCCCCTGGGTCGAACTCGGCACGGTGACCAAGTTTTTGTCGGCCCTTCGGGATTGCATCACGCCGCCTCGCCGCCAGGTTCGATGGCATTGCAGGCGACCCGAGTGAGGTTCCTGGTGAGATCGAGGCCATGCTCTCGTTCTCGCAGGAACTCCGAGAAGTGGCGCCAAAAGGCAACGTCGCCAGACAGAGGACGGAGAGTGGAAATCCCACACGACCTTCACACTACAAGATGCTACAAGTCAATTCTTCTGCTTTACTCACTAGACTAGACTTATTGTGTCCTTGTGTGACTTTTTTCCTCTGACTCTGGCATGCGCAGGAGTGCAGAGCCTGGACTGAATTGCCGGTCTACATGTGATAGTGAAGCATGCGAGGCATGTTGGCGGGACGTTTGTCGTGTGTTTTGGTGCTTCATGGCTTCGGAGCTCAGGCCGCAAAGGGTCGAATCTGGATCAACCTGACCACGGGGACGTGGCCGAGTCCTTTCTTCTTGCTGTGGGTGCCCTTGCTTGAGTCGATAGTTGGTGTTTGCTCACTAGCAGCTAGCAATGCCCCTGCATCCTCACATCACATCCCTACAACCCCATTTGCAGAATCTTACTTCAGGTGGACAGCATTTGGCGGGGTCACCGAGACGTTCTTGCATTCTCTGCAGAAGAACGGCCCGGATTGACTATCCGGCAGCGCTGGCAGCTCTTTCGTGAGTGCCTGGGTCATGAACCGAAAGGGCAACCAGAGTATCTGTAGGTGATTTTAAATCATTTCTGCCAGTGCACGGCGGCTTGATGCAGGTGCATCATCTCAGCGGCCATAGTGCAACGGGCCCGCTTCTTCCCAATCGCGCGCCTTATGATTCACGGCAGTGTGCTATCAAAGCATGGCGACGCCCGGGCACTGGGGCTCAACCTTGCCAACGACTTGGATTGGGCACAGGAAGTGTGGTCGCATGCTTCATTGGGACTGTTGCTGCAGGAGCTCTACATCTCGCCGGACCTGATGGATTCAAAACGGTGGGATGTACTGTCTGGAGCGCTCAAGTGGGCACGGGATCACTATGCAACACTTGAAGACACGCACTGGGCGATCTCACAAGGATGTAACCAGCAGCCATACGGATGGGCAGCTTGGCGAGATGGCCTGGGCTTCCTGACTCTGCGAAATCCATCTGCAAAATCCGTGAGAACGGAGCTCTTCAAGCTGGGAGATGCATTTGAGCTTCCATCAAGCACAGAGGGCCAGCTCCAGTTTCGTCTAATCAAGCGTCTGACGGGGTCAACTGGCAAATGGCGGTGTAGCTCGGTTCGGGGAGCCAAGAAGATGCAGGGCACTTGTGTGATTTCTTCTCAGCAGCATACCCAGGTAAGTTTGAATGATGCAGAGCTGGTGATTCTTGAGTTCCGCGTGCGCCCGTCTCAGCCCCATCTGGAGAGCCACGGAACTCGATCCGAGTTGTAACTCGCAACCTCGCAACTTGATACAACGAGCGTCTCCAAGCCGCCACGGCGCTTCCGGAAAGCACTGGCGAGCGGTCTCGCGGGCACTCTACACGAAGACTCGGGAATTTCCAGGCCCGATCAGTGAGCAGAACATCGGGTTCAGCGCATCGGGTTCTGGAACGACGTGCAGTGCATGGCTGTGTCCAAGGCGACATCTTTGTCGTTGTGCCACTGAGCCAGGCCGCAAGGAAGCACCCCAACGAGTTTCCCGACCAGGGCGACTCCGACTTGTCAGACACGTACTCTCCTCCCAAGTTGCGAAGATCTGGCTGAAAATTCTGCAGATCATGCTGCTCTAGTGGCCCTGTACTAGCAAGACTTGCAGATTTTTCAGATAGTGCATCACATGCCCTCTTGGCACTCTTTGGCCCAAGGAAGGGGCAGTGCATGTTCAGCTCCACCTCACAAGCATTACATAGACACGTGCGCAGGGACACACATATTCAAACAAGTGTATTGTTATGTCTGCAATCTGCTAGTGTTCTGCTTGCCTGCTATGTGCATTATGTAGATACTGTCAGCAATGATGTAAATTGCGTAATTTGTGTTCTGTTCTGTTCTGTTTTGTTCTGTTCTGTTCTGCGCCTTCTGCCGTTTGTGCATATTTCGCCATTTATGATGTGCATAATGCATTTTTGAGACATATATATATATATACATATATATATATAATTATATATAATGTACATATGTCTAGATATGTCGTTGGCAACCAAGTGCCCCATGTAATGCAAGACAGGCTTTGTGAACCCTGTATGTAGCCTGTGCCTCAAGAGCGGACACATGCAGTGCCTCTGTGTTGTGCCATGGCATGTCATGTTTTCGCTGATGCAGTTGCATCATTTTCAAAATGCCAGGTCAGCTAAGCTACCAGTACTTCGTTCGACTTGCAAAGTCAGACATTCACATTTTTTTGATGTCGCTCAGTTCCACAATTGCTTGTGCAGGCCGCTTGCTGATTGGAGTTGTGCTGTGGGTGATCGTGCCCTTCAAGCGTGCGGAGCCATCTGATTACCCACCTTGGTTTCCAGCTGTGGAGATCGAAGACTACGAGTGCCGGCGGGCTTTCAAAGACCAGCCTGTGGTGAACTGGCCATTGTTGCGACAGCGCCTGGGCGACCTGGTGAAGTTGGTGCTGGACGATCGAAGCCTGCTTGTCAAGCAAGACGTCGCAGCCCTCCAGCATCAGACCTTGCAGCTCGAACTACTGGAGGTGGCTGCGGTAGTGCTGTGGCAGTTCCCACATGCGTTGAATGAGTGCCCCTATGGAGCTGTTACAGCCTCGGTATTTGCGACCTGTATGGCTTACCTGGACAGATCCGAGCTTTCTGCAAGCCCATTGCAGGCACCTTACGTCACGCTTCTAGAGCACTTAAGGCGAGAATCTCTGGCTGAGCTCTTGTCTCGTGATTTGTCCGTGCTGCTAGACTTGGCGCCGCTGCACGTTACAGCTGCAACCGAGTGGCACACGTTTGCTCTGCTTCACATGTACCTTCCCAAGATCAGGCCACACCACATGCAGGAGGTTCCAAATGACCGCGTCATGTGTGTCGGTACCTCCGTCGCGGGCTACACATCTGAACGCATGCTGGACATGATCAGGCGTCACACTCCATATGCTTCTGGTCGCGACATTGAGGGCCTGAAATTTCTCCGTGGCTTAGACGGGCTGGTCTCCGCTACGATGAAGGACCCCAGGGAGTTCTCGACCACTTACGTGCCCGCGTGTCCTTGTGGTGCTGCAGCATTTGGAGTTTCGGCGGCCATGTTGGCCTTGATGTCCAATCCCTCCCTTTTCGAACGCTTCAGCAACATGGCTCACGGGATCATGCGTGCCTACACCCTAGAAGTCCTCAAGGGTGCCACTGTTTGGGGAGTGTTTCATGGATTGGCGAAGATGGGAATGTTTGCCCTCCGCTCCTACGACCTTGTGTCGGCCCCTTACATGATGTGCAGTAGCTTCGGTCAAGGGATTGCTGCCGGTTTCAACAAAACGTGCGCAAGTTATAAGGCTTATAAGGTGTACAAAGCTGAAAGTCGCATGAGGTGGATCGGCCGTATGTCAGGGGTTTTGACTCAGGTGGTCCTCTCGGGAACTCTGTGAACTGCCCGCCGAGCCAAGTGCTTTCGACTCCTTGCGGATGGATGCTGACCTGAGATTGAAGCATCTTTCCGCAAATGCGGAAAGGCACCCGCACTCCGTGACTCGGCTGGTCACATCATTCCTGGAGCAGGTCAAGGCCGTACGGGAAGATCCAGAAGTCATGGTTTATGTGACTGCCGTTGGCGGTTTGCCCTTTGCCAACTACATCACAGGAGCGGTGGGTGAATGCAAACTGTTGGTGCGCAACATGCTAGTGTAGGCTTGGTTTGCCGACAAGAGGATTCATCAGAAGAGCTTTGGTGGTTGGCCTGCCTGCCTTGATCATGGCATGCATGGACCAGGATGCCGTCGCGAAGTGTAAGCAGGACAGCTCACATGTACATGGCCTGTATCTACTAGAACCTAGGGCTGTCTGCGAGTCTGTGTGGTTCTGGACAGGCTGTTGCAAGTGTGCAGCGAGACGTGCGCGGCCACTGGGCCCCGACTCACATGCACACTGGCCATTGACGGTTGCAAGCACCCGAGCGCCTGGCCTCTTCAGTTTGTCTCAGGTGATCTGTCTGAGGAGAAGACCATCCTGTGTGTGCCAGCAGTTGAAGGCTCCTTGATAGCACTCAGCTTTCGTGCACAGAGGTACCGTGTGGGAACATTCTCTATCTGTGGTCACGTCTTGCAGGGCATGTTATCTACATCAAGCATGCCTTCCTGCCAATGCTCCTCAGTGCGGCGGTCGACACGGTTTGGATCGACTTTGACACCTTCATCTTGCAGGTCTACCCCCAGCTGAGATGGGATTTTCCTTCTTCGTTCTAGATTCTAGATGATTTCTGCCCCTGCCTCTGTAAGACAGTGCGACCGAGAAACTCTCACGTGTTTGCGTAGGAGGTTTTCAAGCAGACACGCGCCCACTCACGTTCCCACACTTGCACACACACACACACACACACCAGAAGCCTGCAAGCTGGATACAGCCCTCCTTTGGAGACAGATCGCTTTAGTTAGCCACTGTGCTGTCCACCTTGTTGTTCACTACCTGAGGCTATTTCTCGCAGCTTTCAAGTCTCCGGTCAATGTTGATTCTGAGTTCCTGAGGAGCCATCCGCTGCACTGCGCTCCACTCGTGACTCGCCTGGCCGCGTTCTGCCCTTGCGGTCACGAGCCGCCAACCTGCAGACAAGTCGGCTTCAATTTTCTCAGAAGCATTCAGAATCAGTCAGCGTCTGCACTTTTGCGTTGTCAATCCACACCTTGATGATGCAAGCTCCAGGTACGGTTTGGCTCTTTCTTGTTCGACAACACAACGGACTTGTGCGCTTTGTCCAAGATCTGCGATCCCAGGCAGTACTGGACATACAACGTGACTTCCACAACTGCGGAGACCGCGACGGATCATAAGGGGGTTGAGTTGCTGGTCACCGAACATTGGGATGCCCGCTGCCTAAACAATGGTCTGTTCTATGCACGGGCCACATACCGAACTTTGATATTCTTCACTTTGTTTCTGAAGCAAATCTATGTGAATCCGTACACAGACAACCAAAATCTTTTTGATGCTTTCCTGGCGCATTCTACTGTTGACTCGGCTGTGCCTGATGCCAGACCAATCCTGAACTACGCGTTGTTGGATATCGAAAATTCATTTGGCTGTGCTGAAGGCCACGTGAATACAGCTGTCCCTGGACATCCGGATGGCTTGACGACTTTTCATTTTTGGGCATCTGACTTCCGAACGCGTGAAGCCGCAGGAGATGAGAACTCGACTGCCGCCCGCATAGTCGCGCGAAATGGGGTGGAACGAGTGGCCAAGATAAGGGCAGGCAAGGACGACTTGTTCGAGATTTTCTTTGGGCCTGCTGCCCAAGCGGCTTATGAAGATGGCGTTCCAGCAGCCGGAGCGGCCTTCATACAACAGGCCCTTGCCTGAGTTTGATTCCAGTGGTCTACAAAGCCGATCTGGTTTTGTACCGGTTTTGTCAGGTTGGGTATCTGTGTAGTGCCTCGTGCCACCAAGGTCCGCGCCCCGAAGCCAAACTGGAAGGGCATGTGTGCCGTGACGGCTGTGGGAGTGGAGGAGCTGGTGGATGAACGCATGCTTCAAGGTGAGCAAACACTCATAGACTGGCAAGCAGCTACTCACGTCACGGCCCGTGCCGAGCCCCAAGAGCCCGAACCTGTTACGGCCAGCGGCTGCGACCGAGGGCCGCGTTGCATGGACATCCCGCTGGAGGAGTGGACGTCGGCGTTGCAGTCCGTCGGGGAGCTCAGCCTTGGGAAGTTCTTGGAAGAAGGTGAGGTGTCGCAGCTCAAGGCACGACTCCGAAGCTTGGATGTTGGGGTTCTTCTGACTGCACGAGCCTTCAGCTCCCGTGGTCTCCAGACCCTGGCCAAAGAGCTAAGGGAGGTCCTGCGGCATCCTCCCACCTTCACTTAGAGAAGCCAAAGCAGAAGCTTCCTTCAAAACGCCTCCTCAGGATACCTTCGGTTTTGCAGTGGCCAGATCATTCATCATCTGGAATTTAGATTCTGTGCGCGTGCTTGCCCGAGTTCAAGAAGCAAGTGGACATCTGCAGCCCCAGGAGTGAAAGAGCTGCAAAGTTCAAGGCATGTAGGAGCGGAGCATAGCGGAGCCATCGAGGGAAGTGCTATGAATACTCCTACCATCCTAGCGTACCCACCAGCTTCGTTGCAATGAGTTTGCTGGCTTGACCGTCCCCAGATTTCATGGCCCTGGCCTTTGCGTCGCCATGGCGTGTGGCGGCGGCTCCTACAGGGCACGCTCCTGGGGTGCGACCGGCGACTACCTCGCAGGGTGATCCAGGCGAATGCCAGCCAGGCCGGCTGGAAAGGCAGCTTGTGCTGGGCTGCGCGGCGTTTGCGGCTACAAAGCGGGCCTCCAGCAGACGCCCACCATTCAGGACCATGCTGCATGCATGATCATCATGTGCACAGGTACAGATCCCAGACGTAGAGTGTTGCATGGGCTAGAAAGGGCTGAACCTGCCGGCTCGAAGGAAGTGTGTTCGATGCCTGGCTCCCAATCTACACGTAGCACGAGCACGCATCCTTGAATCACTTAGAGCGTGGAATCCAGACATTGCTAGACAAATGGTACGCAGATGTGCTAGCGGGTCATCTCTCGGATCTCTTGCCATGGAGCCTTGCGATGCATGGCATACGTAGTCCAAGAGGCAAGGCAGCAGCTGCGAGGTGAATGGTCCGAGTGGTCCGCGCCGGTTTGGCGCAGACCGTCGCATGGGCCTGGCTCACGGAGCCAGTCAGCAGACCCGCCCCTGAGTGCATTGAGCGCTGTGCCATTGCACCTGCCGTCCGTGTCTCGTGGTGCGTCGAGAGCAGGGAGTGAAGGCCACCCTCCCAAACCGGAGCCCGAGCACAGGGAGAACACGGAGCGCGCAGAGCCCGCGGAACCCGCAGAGCCCGCAGGCCGCCTTTCGAAGTGCTCCGGCCGCTTGCTGAAACCTCGGAGCTGCTCGGTCTCCTCGGAGAGGTCGTGGGGATCTGAACTGGAAGTAAAACGCGAAGATGGATGGGGCTCGAGTTCCGACGAGGTGGATGATGAGCTGCAAAGGATTGAGCAGGAACTGCAGGACAAGCAGAGGGAGCTTGAAAAAGTGAGGGGAGATGGTAGTGCCTTGGAAGAGCGGCTCGAAATGTCAGAGCGCAATGCAAGGCACTTTGGAGAATTCGCTGCCCTCTTAGAGGCTGGCCTCCAGGATGCGGATCGTGAAGAGGGTGCCCCGCACCGCGAGCTGCGCCCACCACCACGACCTGCAGCTGCTGCAGCTGCTGCAGCTGATCCTGGCCGCACTCAGGCCATCGACGAGCTAGTAGATGAGTGGAGCCGTGCGAGAGCTGCACTGGGATTGGTGTGAGCTTGCCTTGAAGAACTTGGCAGATCACTCCAGCAGGCCACTTTGTTGATGACCCAGTTTCACAAAGCCGCGGAAAGTAAGCGCATCGTGCCAAACATGATTCGATGCATGGCGAGCTGTGCAGCATGAATTTAGCATCATGGGCGGCCAAGCAGCGCCAGGAGCAGCAAATCGCAACTTCATGCACAGGGTCCCGTACCCCTCGGTAACATTTTTGATGCGCTGGCCTCAGCTTTAGTCGTTCCTGAATGTCCAGCTGTCTCGTTGGTTCTCGTATGAGGTGGTAAATCAAGGTGGACGAAGTGGCATGGGTGGAGGTTTTGTTGGTCCTGGTTCGGGCGACATGTTCGGCGGCCAGAAGAGTTCCTTTGCTGCCTTCGTTCGTGTGTGAAGTGTCGGTCAAGCAGCAGTTTCACTTCGTTGTCAGTGCGCTGACACTCGCCTGCAAGGAGCTCCAGAGGAGGAGGAGAAAGCACGCAAGGCTTCTTTCTCAGTGCCGACGTGAAAGTGCGCTCCCCGCTAACGGGCCCATACCGGCCTGTGTCGATACCGATGAACAAACCGGGGTACGGTAGGCCTCTTGCATGCCTGGGCAGCTGCATATGCATAGGCAGCTGCACGTTGGGCTGGCTTGTCCCCGTTCGTACCACTTGTGAGAATGGGTTTAAATTTAGGTTGCCCTTACGAGATGTCATTGCCCCCCATCGTTGTTCTTTCAGTATGTTTCAGACAGAAGACTGCGCTACAAGTATCTGTAAGTGAATCGAAGCCTGCTCATCGCCTCAACCCACACCTCGTAACTGTGCTTGGCATCGGTGAGGTGATGCAAAACATCCGAGACTTTCGGATGAAGCCCAAAGAGGTGAAGGAATACTTAGACCGATTTGTCATCGAGCAGGATGGCGTTGTTCCCAAACTCAGCCACGCTTGCAGCTTGCAATTTGACTCAATTTGCGAGACTGGAAAGTAGCTGAGATCAGGACGATGCCAAGAAGGTGTTGTGCTCTGGACGCACCATCAAACTCAAAGGCATCTCTCTTCCATTATCTTCCGTCTTCTCAGGTCCGTTGCTCTTTGCGATCATTACAACTGGGCGAGGCGATGCCTCGATGATCCCAGCCTTCGAGGCAAGAACTACACCAAGCCGCCCCTTGAAGTGCACAGGGCCAGCATCTGATGATGTCTGACGGGCTCTCTCAGAGCCTCTTCGAGCCATGTCATGTTAAGGAACATCCTCATCTCCGGTCCGACGGGAAGCGGGAAAACCTACCTCGTTAGGACCATGGCCAAGATGCTCGGAGTTCCCTTTGCCAAAGACCTTCAGCTGCAAGAGCAGTGCAAGAGCAGTGCAAGACTGCTTGGCCAGCATCTCTCCAGCCGATGTGACACACGTCTGGCCAGGCAGATGCGACGAAATTCTCGGAAACTGGCATTGTCGGCGAAGATGCGGAGGATGTTGTCCGGCAGCTCATAGATGCAGCCGGTGGGAGTTCGGACGTGGCACAGTATGGAATGGTGCACCTCGTCTGAAAACATGCGTGCGTTCTCGGGTTTCATTGCCCCGTGGTCCAGGAGTTCGCAGTTTGCAAACATGTGTTGGCAGGTACATAGATGAAGTGGACAAGATTTGCAGTGGAAGTGGTGGCACTGCCAGAGGTGGCTGGAATGGATCACAAGTGCAAAGACCCCTGGCATGGAAAACTTAGCAAGGGCATCCTTCGCTCATGTGCGCCAAGACTGTGCTACCTCGGTGTTTGTGAGCATGTGAGCAGCATACCAGGCAACTTTTTAAAGATCATGGAGGACACCGAGGCTCCTCGACCTCAACGACTGCGGCAACCATGTTTAAGTTTAAGCATGTTTGTCTCAACATGTGTACTTGATGTGTTGCCGTTTGCGCGGGGTGGAACCCAAGAACCACCATTGCAGAACTCCGCTTCTGCCGCGAGAACTTCCCGACCCTCGGGGAACGCCGGGCAGCTTAGGTGGGCACGAAAAACTCGATGCAAGCCAGCCTTTCGAGTATGCCCCCTTGGCCGCACAAGATGCCAGAGTCACGGAAAGACAGCCGGGCGGGTTCAGGTTTGGAGGTGGTCAAGGAGACCAGACAATCTCGACGAAGTTTGCCACTTGTCGAAGCTGAGGGCTCGAAGCCAGTGGTTCCTTACAATTCTACTTTGGTCTGGTTAAGTCTTCTTGTCTTCTTGTGGGTTGATTTGCATCTGCTCATATGCATGTAGCTTCTGTGTGTCACAAGCAGGGATGGCTTTTTGAAGGTGGCTAAGCCGAATGCTGCTCTGACGCTTTTCGCAACACGTTCCCCATGCGCCTTTCTTTACACTACTGACCGAAGACGGTTGTTCCGGGTCTGAGCCGATCGTTTTCGGTTGTGCTCGTAGGAGGTCGTTGCCCTAGGTCGACTCCGCTTGCCGAAAGTCGACTCCAAGCCCTGTGCACCAGGGTTTGGCCATGCTGTCAGCATGATCTGAGTTGTTTTGTGGGTGTGTTGTTTTGCTGCTTTGGTTGTTTTAGCGTGGTGTGCACACGCTCCAACATAAGAAAAGAGAATCTAATCTAATCAAATCTCTCACACACGCACACACACACATACATACATATATATATATATATATCTGTATATGTACATATTTTTATGTTTATGTATATATATATATATATTGTACAAATAAAGCAACAAATATAACTACTTACATCGAAAACAAATCCACACACACATGTATGTATATGCATATGTAGGTTTGTAAACGCTGTGGGTCGACCGGCCCGCTGGAGACAGCTTGGCGGTGTGTCTATAGAATCGGGATCGGAATGGGAGGACTGTCTCGGGGGCGCTCTGAGGGTTTTGTTGGGCCTCTAGGTTAAAGGGGGTCGGTCTTTCGGGCCTGGGGGGGAAGATCGGCGTTTTGTCAAGACTGTCTTGGATGCAGCGGGGCCAATCTAATCGCTTTTTCTTGAAGGTTCGCGTCCGAAGAGTTTGCGAGGCATGGAGGTGGGTTGCTGCGGGCGCTGCAAAGCACGAAAGAGGGGGGATTCATGGGGAGGAGATTAGAGGTGAGGTCCACCTCTGATTCCCACGGCCAGGGCCGAGGCGAGTTTGGTCTCATATCCGGAGACTAGGGGATTTGGCAAAAGCTGAGGTGTTGTTCATTTTCAGCGGTGCCTTCAATGGCATGAATGAGATGATCAAAAACCGCGTGGGTGCCACAGCCAATACTTAAAAGAGTGCCCGGCCTGCTGACGTCAGTCACAGAATGGGTGCCGCATCTCGAAGTCATGTGCTCAGGTACCAAATCCATGGGTTTCTTCGTCGAGGAGCACGACCAGGAAGACAAAGACAACTCCGATCCCTTGGGCCTCCCATCGAAGGAGGAGGCACAGAGTGGCTCGGGGACGTCAGAGCCACCACCAACTCCTTTGTCACCCCTATGAACCTGACGTTTCCAGCGTTAATGTTGTCATGTGAAAAGTGCCTTAGGCCATGGTTTGGGTAGGTTTTCCGTTTGATTTTCACGTGTAGGTTTGCGCAGATTGCTTTTGGATGCGGCACGTTTAACGATGTCTTGCGCAGGGTTCGTTTTGTGGAGAGTCAGCGGCGTAAGCTAAACCCTGCGCGCGTAAGGTTTGAGCAAGTTTGCACATTCCCTTTTTCAAGGGGCGAGAACGTGTGGTACCAGTTCTTCACGGCTCGTTTGATCACTGAGGCTACTTGCATTTGGCTGAGACAAAGGACTTTGTCGAAGCGGGGCTTGAGCCGGAATTTGTGGGGCGCATCCCTGTCCGTGTGGTGCAGGCCTTACTAAGCGGCTGCGGGTTTTCCGTGAGGGTGTCCGTGAATGGCTTGGCCCCTCCCTGGCTTTCATCTCCAAGGCGATCAGGGCACTGACTAGCAATGACCTCTACAGAATCTTGACGGAGGCTGAAGACTCGGTTCTGCTCCAATTTCAGAGACCCAGCTGCCCTATGACAAGTGAAATAGCTTCCATTGCTACAGTACTGGCACCAGCGCGTAGCACCCTGTGAGACTGAGGAACGACTTCAAGGGCTATGGGATCGAACTGGAGGTGCGAACCCACAAGCACCTAAACCCTAAACATCCCCAACCCATCCCCATTGTAGTCCTTGGCTGGGTCTCCTCTTCGGACGGTTGCCTTGCCTGCCACGTGCGAGTCCACACTGGATTCTAAACCCCAAGCCGCCTGAACCCGAAAGAATTCTCAGAACCCAACTCCAAGACTAAAGAAAGGAAGCCCCAAATCGAAGCCCTTGTGAGTTTCAATTCCGTAAGCTGGGTGTGTGGATCCAGGCTGAAGAGGCGGCCCTCCGACGCGTGGCGGAGCTGGCCGTGGAGGAGAAGACGGGCGCGCGGGCCTTGGTCACCATCCTGGAGAAGGCCATTAGAGTAATGAGGAACCGAGAGGAACCGAGAGGAGAGGAAGAGGATCTCGTCTCACAAAAACACGCGCGTGTCACATTTTTTGTTTGTTCGTGTTTGATGTGTTTGCAGGCGGCGTGCACGGGCCATAAACACCATGCAGCACGGGCAGGTTCTCCGTGGCTTCAAGTTCGAGCTGCCCTCCACGAGCTGCACCAAGCTGACCCTCACAAAGGCGATGGTGGAGGATCCTGAAGGAGCCTCGGCAAGATCCTGCTGAAAGGGACCCGGCCCCTGAACGTCTCATCATGTCTTATCCTGCAGCTCTTCCGTCAAAATGTCAGTTGATCTTGCCGTCTTGCCCTACCAAGGAAGCTTGCAGGACTTGCTGTGTTCTGCGCCTGTGGCACAAGCATCGGTGCAGCGGTGGCTGGAGACGGTTGAGCGGACGTTCCTGTCTGAGTTTCCCCACAGTTGCGAAAGCGTTGGTGATAACTGCTGGCAACAGTTTCGTGGGCATCGTGTGCAGATCCAGGTCCAAGATTCGTCTGGAAATGCCGGATGACGTGCGGGATCGCGTCATAGAAGAATGTGTGCCTTGTGTTGCGTTCAGCTCTTCTGCCTGGGCTGGCCATTTCTGCCTGAAGTAGCGGAATCTACAGCGTGTTCCAAGGCCAAACGGCGCATGGCCGCCGACGCCGTGCTCGACAGCATGCTCAGGCAGACTGGAGCCCTGGCTTTTCAGACACGGCTAGTAACTTAGCACTTGACATTCCCACATGCAGTTTCTGCTCAGCACTTTCGGCAAGCTGGCAGTGAAGTCTTTTGCAATGGGTGCGATCGTACATGCCACTGCGATGCCGAGGGGTGATCTCTGGCTTTGAGTCGATCCGTGTCTTGGCTTGGCTTCTGCAAAATTGGCCTCTCAGTCAAAAGTGCTATGCTAGTGTCCACTATCAAGGTGATGCAACAAAGGGGAAGGTGGACTTCTTCTGCGTGAACCAGGCCATGATCGACACGCCGCTTGACGGCCCATTCAGAAGGTTTCTTGCAAGCGTGCTGTCTGTCCACAATCTCTGACCCTACAATTCCCACAAATCAGCTGACCCAAGAGGCCTGAGGAGGAGATGCAGAAGTGGACAAAGGATTTGGATGCCATGGCCTGACCTGCTACATGGCAGGCTGCGCGCATCAGGTTTTCGCCAACAGCTGCAGTTTGTAGCCGGACCGTTTTCGTCAGTCACATTCTGACCCAAAAGGGGCAGGGCAGGAGGATGTTGTAAGTCCGGCCCTTCGCACCACTGTTTCAATCACAAGCGTCTTGCAGTGGCCAAGCCAGTGTTTTGACTTCCAGCAGCAAGGTACAGGCTGCTGCCCATTTAAGGATCAAAGACCTCATCCCGCGGCACGGATCCTGGAAAGCACCCCAGGGCGTTGGAGTAGCGGAGTTTGCAATTGTGCTGCGCTGGCCCGGAGCCGCCTGCTGCACACATGCCTGTCCGCTTTCCAGTAATGTTCTTGAGGGCACAAAGCAGGCACATGGTAGGCGAAAGGCAGGCACATGTCAGACAAGCTGCTAGCATGGTGCCATGGGCTTCGCGCCGCTGGCCTTGTTGAAGAAGCCGTGCGCCATGAGGCAGTTGCAGAGCGAATCTCTCGATGTTAGATGCTAGATTGTAGATGCTGTGACTTGTTGGCAACTTGTGGTTCGGGCTCCAGGATTTCCTGCAGCTCTGTAGCTGTCTCTGCCGGAGTAGCTGCTGTGTACTGCAGCTGCACCAGCCGGATCGGCCTATGACTCGAATGCTTGGTGTGTTGTCCATTGGGCAGCACTGGCACTTGGCTTGGGCAGCCTTGGAGGCTCGGGGAACAATCTCCTGCCTGGCATCAAGACTCTCGGATACATGGCGGCGTGGGGACCCCGATGCCTCAGCTCTATCGAGGATTACCTGGGTTTCAAGGTGGTTGAATGTGCCTAGGGTTTCTCGGGGATTGTTCTGAATTAGAGGCATGTCGAATGCTGAGCCATGGTGTCAGCTAGAGTGAGAGTTGGAGTTGGAGTTGGAGGTAGAGGTGGAGGTATAGGTAGAGGTAGAGATCGAGTTCGAGTTCGAAAGAGAGAGGGAGGCGATATGGGATTCGAAAGTATCCTGTAGGGCTCAGATGTTTATGTACTGTGGTTGCTTCGACTGCAATTGCCATCATTGCCGTGCTTGCAAGGCCCGTGGTTACATCTCATATACAGTCATACCGAGTCATGCCTCCGAGTCATACCTTCCCTATGTACAGTTATGCTGCACCCCATGCGCGCACGCCGGCATTTGAAGTAAGCAACAACCGCAACCATTCGTCCAAATGCGTGACTCTAAAAGCACCCAGCACAGTCTCCAGGTGGCCCTTGAGAGTCAGGTTCACCAAATATTGAGGAAGTACAGGTTAGGGGGCGGGCATTCTTGCACAGAGCAACGTCTTGACCTTGGTAGAAGGGATCGAGGTGCATCTTTGCCTTGTCTGCCTTTGCTGCTGGATTGGCTCAGACTTGACATCTTGCTGTCACATGCATGGAATCTGGAGAGCTCCGGGTAGTGTCGTGACAGCACCTGCATGCAAACAGCCGCGGACTTGAAGTCCCTGGACCTACTGACCTGAGCAGATGGTGGTCGAGCAACCAAGTCTATCCCAGACGCCGGCCAACGAAGCTTTTGCCCGCTCTTGTCGCGTCACAGAAGTAGATGTCAAGTACAAGTTCTGATGCAGTCCTTTCGGTCATGCTTGGTAGTGAGACAGGTCTTTTGATGGTCCTTCGTTGGAAAACATATTTTTCTGAGGGCTCTTTCCGCAGGGTTCTGGATGTTCTCGTGTCACGCTTTTGTGGCCTCCCAGGTTGTTAACCTTTCCTGCAGCCCCTGTTGCAAAGCCTGAAGACTGTGATCACAGGAGCCCTGCTAAGAGGGGTTCTTTGCAGCTAACTCCTGATGAACAGAAAGAATGCTTTGCAAAGTATGCTCCCCGTCTGAATCCGAGGTTCATTGAGTTCCGACCACATGAGCTCGGCGGCCGATTTTCAATTGGCCTCAGATGCAGACATGACCGACCAGGCTCACAAAAGTGCCGGTTTACACCGGGTTCAAGCGTGGAGGTGTTCTCTTCTGAAGCGGCAGCATCAATAATCCTCAAATCAAGGTCTAGCATAGCCTTCTGCGCGGAAGCAGGACCAACTCTCTACTGGCGGCCGGGCATCTCTATCTGAAGTTGCCACTCCACGCCCTGGAGAAATCCGACTAGCCTCTCCGGATGCGGGGGGCCTGTTCAAGAAGCTGCTTTGTGGAGTTCTGTTTCGGGTGCACGTATGATGCCGCCCCATTGGCTACCCAGGTGACACCCAAGTCCAGCGAGGCGCATGCCCTGGCGAAAGGAGTTGCGCAACATATCTCGTGATGTCTAACATGTCTACGACCGAAACACAGTCGCTGTGTTTTGACCAGCCCGAATGAAAGCAATGAATTTTCACAAAGAATACAAAACAACTAAAAGATCAAACGCAAGATGCAAATTGATCAGGGCCTGCGGTGGACAGATCCCATCGACTCTTGTGCTGGCTCTCCGGAAGCCACAGATGCCCGGCGAAAACGAAGTTCCCTACAGTTCCACATGGACTGAAATGGTAGCCCATGTAAAAAAGGTAACATAGTTCTGAGAATGACCGTTTTGATGGGCTCTTCACTGGAATGGTCAGAACGGTTATTGGCACCTATGCTTCCTAGGCAGGTTTTGTTGAGTTAATGTGGAAGGCAACGTCCTGCTTAGCTGTCCAGTCACGGTTGAGGCTTGGGGCGATTTAGGGTTATCGTTTCCGATGGCGCGTGTCGTGCACTGGCTGAGACACGGTCCAGCTGGAAGGGTGGCAGCTTCCCTACACCAGCTCAGGAAGCCAACGAGTTCTGCATTGTCTCAGCTGACGACCGGACGTCTCCTGATTAACTTAGAGGTTTTGCTGTAAACGAGTGGTAAAGCCTGATCTGAGGTTCTTATCCTCTTGCTGCTTATTGCCATAACCCATTCTGACATATTCTGTCTCATCAGCTACCGCCCCTGCCACCCCGAGGCTAGACTCAGAGTGTGACGGTGACTGTGCGAGCGAGGCGCGGCACAAGAACATATGTCAAAGAGCTGTCGGATTCTGAGGGCCGTGGGCCCTTGTAGCAGCCACCCCATCAGCGCATAGCAGATCTTTGCCCTCAGGCATTGGAGATCGCATCGCCCGAGCCGGGAAAGTGCCCTGAGCTTCAGGACTTCCGTGCGGAAGGGTAGAGTCCGTCATCTGGTCCGGAGCCGTGGTGTTTGAATCTTCAGCAGGAAGAGCACTATGGAGCACCGTCGCACCCCTGTTCACCCTGCTCAGGAGACCCCACTCCACTTCCACAGCCGCCTCGACGGTCGAGACCACACGGGGCAGTTGATCCGCAATGTCATGGCCTTACTGCGGCTGCTGGAGCCACGTTGCCAGAAAGCAAGCTGTGGGCATCATACAATTCGCGCCAACATACTTTAATAGGCCTGGGTTCGGAGTCGTACGCCTAGTGATGAGCTGGAATCACCCTAGGGTCGCCGCTGACAACCAAGACGTGAAGGTATTCCAAACTCATGAAAAGGGGGGGGAGTTCATTTGAAAAAACGTTCTGACTAGTCGAAAGCTCATTGTTCTCAACTGCTGCCAAACTTTGTTTCTGTATTCTCCCAGCTCCTATCCAGTTGCCTTTTCAGTCGTCTGAGACTAAATTTATTCGTAGCACTTCTTGAAGTCTGTGCCAGCTTGATCCAGACAGTATGAATCCACTTTGTAGACGGGAATCCTGAGGGGAAGCTCGCTTAACAAGCTTGCGTCTTTCTCAAGGTGGAGTTGCTTGGGCGGCGGTACTTGGTTGTCCGCACGGAGCCCTCAAAGGAGGACTTGCAACAAGGCTGGGAGAGCAGGTTTTTTGGCGGCTTGATTGCGGTGGTGCTTCGGTTTGTGTGTTCCCACGCATTCGCTTGACCACCTTGCTTTAGGCATGAGATCCATCATCCACGTCTTCGGCTTGGGCCTTGACCTCAGGTTCGAGCTGCGGGAGGTGTCGAGATCACTGTGACACGATACTGTGAGTGCACATTTCTCCCATGGCTTAAGCTGCAGACGACCCAGGCTATTTAAATGCCGGCAATGATGATGTTGCACCTCGGCTTGTGTCAAGCCAGGCTGAATGCATTTCTTGTGAAGGATCCGCGCAGTGACCAGTTTACCTTATCACATTGGTGAACATCAGGTGATTCTGGACAGGCCCTGCAAGGCAACGTGCCGTCAATTTCTGTTGTCTGTTTGACTTGATGCTCTCTCGCCGCTGGCCTTTCAGAGTCTCATGTGGAGACGAGGTGTGCTCCAAGGAGTGCAGCAGCAGTGACAGCAGCAGCGACAGCGATGCGGAAGCTCCCGAGCCAGAGAACCCTGGCAAGGCACTGGACGTTGGCATGTTTTGACTGTGCGTCCTGTGGCCTGTGGTGGAGAAAGAGTAGAACGCAAGCTGCAGGGGGCCAGGAAAGCTGGTGAACACTCGGCAGAGGAGCCGGGCATTTTTGTGTCTAGGCGGCACGAGGGCCCAGAATACTCCCCTGCCTTCGAGCATCCCCACCCTGATGTTTTGGGCAGTCGCTCCCGCACTTTGGGGGGATAGGCACTGCAAGACTTCATCAAGGAGTGTGGGCTCCAAGGATCATTTGGGCATGGATCACACACATCCGTGGGTGGGCGTTGTTCAGGTTGCGCTTCCCGTGCGAATCATCTGCGTTTGGAGAAAAATCAGTTGGGAGTTGGGCAGTGCCGGGATCATTCAGGAATGGGCAGGTATGGTCCCTGCAGGGATGGGTGGGCACGCCGGCGACAGACACGCCAACAGACTGCTGCAGGGAGAGCGCCTGTTTTTGTCATTGGCGTCCCTCATGCAGCATGAATCTACCAATCAATCTCTGCCTGGATGCGGCTCCCCATCGAATGGTTGGATGTTCTTGGTGTTTTTTTGTGTTTCTTGATGCAGGTGTAGATTCGTAGGTTGTATGTGGCTTTTGTTTAAATCAAGTTTGTGCAAGTGCAAGCGTTACGTCATGCCTTATAGTAGAGAATACGAATATGTGTGTTATGAAGATCCGTTCAGGTCTTGGACACTACACGCTTTCGCCAGAGAGAGCTGCTGGGAAGCGGGGGCTTTGCGGATGTCTACAGGCCTGGGTGAATTCTGGCTTGTGCACGGACCTGAAGTGGCCGTCTGGACGTCTACAGGTACGAAAAACTGGATCTCGGGGGTCCATCTGAATCCTTCGCCGTGAAGGAGGTGGACTTGCAGATTCTGCCTTGGGCCTCGGATCCCCAATTCTCCAGCGGATTTGGGTGTTGTTTGAGCTGTGCGGCCGTTTTGCGGCAGCTTATTGAGGTCGTCCCGAGTGGGAGCTGACCAGGAGAGACTGGTACGCTGGGTGGCCCGCTTGGAGTTTGAGGCAGGGTTCAATTAGGATAGTTCATGGAGATGTTGGGCGAGTTAGAGCCCGGCTGACTTGCAGGTTCGTAACCTGATGAAGCTTCGCGGCCACCCGGGGGTTGTGAAGGTGCCGTGGCACTGTGGGCAAGAGGGTTCGTCAGCCCCGGCATGCCTCAGCTGTCTGTCGTAGGTCCATGATGCCTTTGCCTACCGCCGAAAGTTCTACATAGTGATGGAGTACGTGAATGGCACAGACTTGGGCAGACGCGGCGCGCTCAAAAGGAGGGCACCAGACAGCAGCTCCAGCATGGGCATAGGAGAAGATGTCCCCAAGGACTCAAAGGCCGCGGGCGCCTGACAGAGCTCGAGGCACGTGGCCTCTTTGCGCAGATGGCCGAGGTGCGGAGGGGCTGGCACGGGGGGGACAGAGACCTTGCGCTGGCAGACAGCAGCGTGCCGATTAAACTGCAGGCCCTCCGTCACAGCCATGCCCTGGATGTGGTGCACCGGGACTGCTGAAAACGCGTTTGCACTGTTTTGGGGTGGCGAAGCATGTTGCAACCCACAGCCCTGAAACAGTGTCCCGCGAAGCCGGGGGCACGAGGACTTCAAGCCGCACAACATCCTTCTGGCGAGTCCCCTGCGCCCGGGACAGCCAGATGTGGTGAAACTGGTCGACTTTGGCTTGAGCAAGGATGGGCTTGCAAATGGTTGCAATGTTTGTATATACAATGCAGTATGGGGTGCCGTGCTGATTTCCCGCCACGTAATCTTCAGAGGGGAAGAAGGAAGATAAGGAAGTGGCAAGCTGGAGGACATCAGCGGCTGCGCGTCTGGAACATCGACACCTTTCTTGGGCACCAAGTACTATAGGTGCGATGTCAATGCGAAACAGAGATTTTCTGCCGATCATCTCCGCAATTGCCAGGGCTCCGGAGACTCGCCACGTGACACCGGGTCAGGAGAACTACGATGCTGCCAAGGAGCATGTTGGAGCAGCGTTCTGAGCGATATCATATGTCCGTACAAACCGAGCCTGGGCAGGTGGACGTGTACGCTCTGGGCGTGACCCTGCAGCTTGCCTGCCGAGTCCTGTTCACCTGTTGAAGTGCTAGATGTTTCATGCCTTTTCGACTGATTCCCCCCCACGCTTCCTAACTGCTGAGCTTGGGTTTTTGCCTCTCAGCCATGCTGAGGTATGCGATGTTGGCTGGCAATCACCCACAAGAAGGCACGACGCAGAGAGACATTAAGCCGTCAAAACCCTCAACGCGGCCGCAGTGCTTGCACGTGCATAGGATGATGACAAAGAACTTTGAGTGTTTCGCCGCTGTTTCATGGAGCGCTCAGGTGAAGAGGTCACGGAGGTGACGCTCCGGGGCGCAGTAGGGAGCCCATAAGTCGACTTTGCTTTGTGAGATCTGGGGGTCACAGACTCGCCCAGGCCTGGCAGCGGGTGAGCCAGGAGGCATGGACTGGCTCTGATGGTATCGCATCCTTCCGGCCCTTCTGAGCTGGAGAGGCCAAGGATCTGCTGCTCGGCCTGCTCAAACATGAGCCAGAGCATCGCCTCAGCAGCTCGGCAGAATCAGACGAAGTCGTCTGAGAATATTCTGCGAATGTCAGAGAATCGTGTTGCCATTGTGTTCTTGCCTTCCAGGTCTTGATGACGTCATTGAGCACCCGTGGCTGTGTGCGGTATGGGCTACAGGTGATGAGAGCGGTGAGCAGGCAACTATGCCCCCGTGTGTGGAGATTGCCTGTTGCCATACGTTGCCGGCTGATGTTACGTAGGGTCTGCTAGTTTTGATTGACGACAATCGTACGCCCGTTGCATTCCTTTTGCTGTTGGTTGAGTGCCTGCTTTCCGCACATCGTTCAGGAGTCAGCACGCTCACCGTCAGGCGACGACGGCCCCTTGGAACGCACGACAATGCGTGGGGCTGGGTCCAAGATTATAAGGTTAAGCTTGCCAAGGAGAGGAAGCAGAAGAACCAGCTTTGCTGGGCCCAAACTTTCTGGCTGCCTTTCCGGAAGCACCGGCGACATCTTCTGCAGCCCGCATCCCTGCCGAAGGCCAGTTGCAATCAGTTACACACCTTGCAAACCCCCAGGCTAGATCTGTCTACATCTGTCTGCGATGGCCAGGTGGAAGCAGCCACGGAAGCCCTGTCCAGTCTGCAAGTGCACCTGGCTGGGAGAACGTGCCCGGACTTACAGCAAAGTCGAGGGCTTTTGAGTATGAGTCAGTTGCCCCACTGCGTGTCTGGCGGCGACATGCTCAACGAAGGGGTGCTCGGGAGGGGCTCAGGTAGGACCATGAGCCTGGCCATGAGTGCCCCCCCAACACAAGGTCCTGAGCTGGTTGCACGCTGATGTGTCTTGGAAGGGTTCAGTCCGTTTTGTGTTGTAATCGCCCCAATCTGCTGTTTCCTTACAGCTCGCTCCATGTTTTTTTGGCGCCTGTTGTGTGGACCTAAGCTTGAATCGCAGACCGTCGGCAGCGAGTGAGGGGGGGGACAGCCCAGCCGCTACAGGCCGCTTCTGCACAAGCTCAACAGGTGCTGTCGCATGCTGGAAAGGCCAGGGCCGCTTAGAAGCGAGAGCTTTGCTGCTCGATCAGCTAGTGACTAGTAGTGACAAGTGATTCGGTCTGGAGGCGGCCGCCCCCTCAGTCGCCTTCGGCCGCGCTCCGCTGGGCCCAGGCACGGAGCGTGCGACGTGGCACATCTGCACTCTCCACGCATGTTCGGCCTTTGCATATCAATCGCAGCTTTGTGCTTCTTTGCTCTTCCTGTTTCCTTCCGGCCTGCGGAGACTGTGCCATGTTCAGGCAGGACGGGGCCACGAACTGCAGCTGGGCCGCAGGCCGAGCCACCTGGCCCACAGGCTGAGGCAGCTGTGGCGGAGTCCAACTCCCTAGCGCCACCTGGCCACAACATGAACGCATCTCGTGCGTTTGGGTTTGGTTCAAAGTCTACTCTGGCCAGGCCAGATCATGAAAGGAAGTTTCTACAGTCTTGCTCCATTCTCACGGTCAAGCACAGTTCATGAGCGCAAACGATTTTTTTGCGTTTGATCCTGGCAAGCTGAGTTCAAGTGCCTTGTCCAGGACTTCGCTCAGCGGGATACACCAGGCTGATGATTCCCTGGCCGAGGGGAATGATGAGGACGGGCTGTTCTCCCCAACGTTCCCTGCGCCTGGCTCAGCTTCGCCACAGGCCGCTTCAGCTGCTGCGGAAGACAAGTCTTCAGCTCCAGCCCCGAGCAGCCGGGTTTCAATGGGAGGTTTGGCCAAAAGGCTTGAGCTTAGCTTCACCCAGACCCTTCATCAACAGCCTGACCAGTGTTTCCGACGGCAAACAACGGCAAACGCCCCTTCGAAAACGAGCTGGTTTGCTAGTGTAGCCGTGCTGCTGAATTGAGTTTGCAGCCCAGGGATTAAGTGGGTCTCTTGTGCGCCTCGCTTCTCATCCGTGTGGCGGTACTCCCAGGCCGGATGTGCTGCAAGTTGTGGAATTTGTGGATTGTGGCTAGTGGCGAGTACTCTGAGCACTTGCTTGTGTTCTTCTAGTGTTTGCGCCGCGCGCATTGTGACGCATGGCACCTTGCATAAGCTTGTATGAGGCGACTGCCGACTCACCTGCGCCATCGCCTTCACCTGCGCCGTCGCCAGGGCCATCTCTGCCGTCACCATCCCCTTCGCCGTTGCTCGATGTGGTGCAAAATCCGCACCCTGCAGATAGCCATATCCTATTCCGTCTACACTGTAACATCGAGCTAGAATAGCTGTTGCACTTGCTTCATCATGCCTCTGAGGCCCATTCGGGCCAGGGAAGATTCGACATCACGCGATGTGACCACCAGCGACGGTTTGGTCTCCTGGCTGCGAAGGGATATCAATCGGCCAGCACGTTCAACACGCCCGTAAGTTACTCGGACGTCGGCACAACTCCAAGTGCAACCGGATGCGATGGTCACCGGTGGCCATTTTTTTTGAGACATTGCTCCCAATCCTTGAGAGCCCATGCGGTTTGGCGCCTCGCATGGGCACTCATGCTCCAGATGCTGTATGCTAGAGCTACCCTGAAATCCTGCCAGCTTTCTCCCGTCGCAGGAATCGCGCCGACCTGCACAGCGTCACCCATCGGTCATCGGGTTTGTTCAGGCCCCAAGGTTGTTGGCAGTGGATGGTGCCATGGCCACTTGGTACAACACAGAGGAGCCAGACAAGGGCGGGCCGAACAAGCTGCCAAAGAACTAAAAGCACCCGCAAGGAACCCGAAAATGGATTACCTTATATAAACTTAGATAACGTATACGTGTACAGATAATGTATACTCCGATCCATTCGCAGCTTTTGGGTTCTTTGCCTCCACCTGAGTACATCTGAGTACACGAGCCTGAGAGCGCTCTTGTCCCTGGAAGCTGAAGTTGTCAGGTCACCATCACTCGGGCACAAAGAGGGTCACGCCAGAGGCCCTGGGGTTTCATATCTGAAACGTGCTGGGGCCTCAGCACTCTTTTCCGGCCTCTAGGGGAACCCGTATAAGCTCTGTGAGTCCCATTTTTTGCTAACCGGTCTGAGGTAAGAAATTTGGCTTTGCCAGCCGGGAGGAGGCCATGCTGGCCGCAGAGGAAGCCTTGCTTGAGCAAGCCAGAGGCGCGGGAAGTGTCCAGGCCGCTAATGGGCCGCTTGGGGGGGAACCGGACCCCGAGGTATCTTCGCGGTCTGGTAAAGGTAATCTAAATCAACCCGAAGCCATCGAGGCTGAACGTGAACAAATGCCGAGAGTTTAACTCGAGAGTCGGGTGGCTCTGACATCGCACGCTTCCGGGAGTCGCCTTTGCGCACGTGCCCTGCAACCGCCCGTGGAGTTGCGTGGGTTCGCCGGACTGGACGCCCGAGAAAGCTCAGCAAAGCGCGCGCAATCTGAACAGATGGACCACAGCCAGTTCCCGGGAAGGAAGGAGGTTGGCAAGCACAAGCTCGTGGCGTGCCAAAAGACAACTGCGGACGTGTTGGACAGCAGTCCAAGTCGTTCGACTGTCGGAGAAGATAGGTGGGGGTGGAGCCGGGTGGAGGTAGTGTGGAGGATTGGAGGACTGCATGAAACAATTTTTTAGACTAGTAGAGATGTGAGATTGCTGTACAGAAGTTGGATCGGATTGCTCCAAGCGAGTGTTCGGCCACGTTTCGTCACGCCAGAACTGTGCTTCAGATAGCATCCGATCAATGTCCAATTATCGGCTGTTAAGGCATGTTCTTGCGAGTCGCGAATGGCCAAGCGCAGTTCTGGGAGGCTGCTGAAGTAGTTTCATGTAGGTTCCTTGTTCCCTGTCGCTAAGCAGAACATCCTCGCTCTCCCCCCTTTTAGCTATTGGACGCCGTCCACGCAACCACTGAGACCACCTCACCACCTAGTGCCTTATATACACTGGCGACCCACTCGAACCCAAACTCGTGTTCTGAAACAGTGCCATGTATTGCCCCTGACGCCTCCAGGCTGATTGCGCCACCTGCCAGACGGACGTGCAGGCAGCCATGTGCTATTCATACGGACACAGATATGGAATCGTATGGACACATACATTTTCACAAGGCAGGATAGCCACAACTCCCCGTTTGGCTTTTCGGTTAGGGTTTGACTTGGACGGATCTGTGGTGTCCTGCGCGTTGTTCACCCATGTTCACCCCATCCTCCAGAGCAAGACCGCAGCATGCACAGTGGCCCCTGCCTGATTCTGAATCCGCCGCAGACCAAGACCTCCCTAAGTTAATTTGCCCACAGACTTCCCGAGATTTCCCAAGCCTCGAAGCAAAGACACCACTGCACCGACTGCACCTTAGGTTTCGATTCAGCTCCGCTAGACCGAGACCAAGGAGATGCACCCTACGCGCTGGCACTTGGGACTGGAGTGGCTGGTTCCCATCCTAACTGGCCTAACTCCAAGGAGGACGAGAAGTGAGGCTCTGCTGAGGCTGTCTGGATCGCGCCAGCACCCTCTCTGGATTGATGGCAGTTGCACTTGCAAAGTCGACGTGGCCCTTGCAGGAGGACCTCGCCAAAACTCTTAACCTGCCGAGACACGAGGTTCTCCTGTCCGGGTCAAAACCGACTTGTCGCGTGTAGCCAGTGGTCAGCTTGCTCGTGTGACGGTGAGTCAATTTGGCTCGGTGTCAGGAAACGCTGAGTTCTGTGCAAGATGGCAGCCTAAAGCCTTCCACCCTTGCCAAGCATTCTCCCCAGCACAATCCGTCATTTCCCTGAACTAGTGCCTTTCTGTGCAAGTGGGCGCTCCTTTGATAAGTTGTCATATGCCCACCATCCGCAAGCCGCCATTGACGCCTGCCATTGGTTAGAGATCGCGGGAGTGTTTGTTTGGAGGCAATACCACCAACATCTTAATCGTTTCTGTTGGGTTGAACTGTTTCAATGGCATGCGCGTGCACTCTTGGCACAGGATGCATGTGAACCTGCTAAATCCTGTGCGTTCAGAGAGCATGTCGGAGCGCGGGGCGACCCTGCGCTGTATTGAGCAGGGATAGAGGTGGCGCATGGAGCCGCAAAGTGTGGACTCCCTTGTTTCCCCAGATGGCCTGGGCTACAGCTCCAGATTGTCTAGGCATCGTCGCATGCTCGAACAGGCAGGCCGAGACTGAGATGAGATACCGACCAAGTTTCACCACAGCGCGTGCAAGCTGGTGGAAAGCGGCAGAAATCAATCCAAAAACAGCCGGCATGGGGGGATGAGCATTGGGATCAGCTGGCTGCAGTTGGTTCATGTCATGAAATGTGCTTCTTGCGGTTGACATCTGACGATCCCGTGCGGAGTTGCTGAGATGCTGCTTTGCGTGGCCTCATCATTGGCCCTCATCCTGCTCCAGGCAAGGACTCTTCATTCATTGTGATTTATTAGTTCATATTTCGTGTAGTTGCAGTCATTCTGTGCCCGAGCTGCCGCAGAAAATCGGAGTTGATGCTGCCGAGATGATGCCACGAGCACTGGACTGTGCCGTGGGAGTCAGCAGTGCAGGAGGAAGAGAGGCGAAAATGTGCTGGCACTGGCTGTTGACGGTGACTTGCTGCTAGGTTGTGGCAACATGCGGGGGGGGGGGGGGGGGGGGGGCGGGGGAACTGTTGCTCGCCAAAATGCTGCCCAAGATTCGGCTCACAGAGTTGGATTCAGCCATGGCCCTGCTGAATGGCTTCAGTAGAGAGGCTATACGATGTGCACGCCAGCTGACTTGTCAGCTTCTGTTTGCATGCTGTGTGGAGTGTGGAGGAGTACCCGAATGGTGACTCCTATGTGCCCTGACTGCATTCGGGCTTCAACCAGAAAATTCACAACTGCGGTCTGCATTGCTCCTCATGTACTAAGGAAGGCCAGTTTAAGCGCGGAGCTCGACATGGGTGCACATCTCAGGTGTTGGTTGAATGCCAAAAGGCGCCAGTACCCGCAGATTGTGTCAAAATAGCTTTGCGCGTCCCCAGGCCGGGAACGTACTACTGCGCGGATGGCGGCTACTATGAGGGTGAGTTTCACGAAGGAATGATGCAAGGCACAGGGACGTCTCAGGGCTCCGAATCAGCCACGTCACATTGAGTTTGTGTATTTCCCGAGGCTTGCAGAGAAGCCCTTTCCAACACAACCTGGAAATCGGAATACAAATTGGGTAAATGCGGCATCACATCATAATCCGAGGTTCTACTATCCCGGAAAAGAGAGCTACACTGGTCAGTGGCTGAAGAGCAAGCGTGATGGCTATGGAAAGTTCTCGCCACCTAGCTGAGTTGAGGTTGCCTCGGTCAAAGCCTGTGGATTCTGAGAATTACGTGCTCGTAGATGCGATCTCAGGTATCAAGACGGAGCAGAGTACGAAGGACGCTGGATCGCCGATCTCAGGCACGGCCAGGCCCGCAGCACTTCTGGGGAAGAGCGGCGTAATGGTACGGTATCGAGCAACCATCGCCTAGGCCGTTAGTCTTTTAACTGTGGGCCACCGGGTTGCCACACAGCAGCTTTGAACGTGTGTGCGATTGCCGACTGACTCTCAGGGCCTCATGAAGTATCCAGACGGATCTGTGGCGATCTCGGGCAAAACACGTCGGTTTCCTGCTTGGTCCTTCTTTCTGTTGAGAATAGGACACACCCCCAGGCTTACAACGGCAGCTGGATTGACGACATGCGGCATGGCCAGGTTCCGGCTGCACTCAGCAGATGTTCAGCAGTTCTTGCTCCCACCACAGCTTCATCAACTCTTGCTCTCTTGCTCCAGGGGCAGATGAGCTTTGGCGACGGAGCGCAGTACAGTGGTGGCTGGCTGAATGATTCCCGCCATGGTTTCGGTTCCTACAGGCCAGCTCGAGATCCAGGTGTTACTTTGTGAGCCTTGAGCGGATCGGATCGTGGTATGGGAATGCCAGGCTGCCAAACGGCAGCTGTTACGATGGCGACTTCAAGGCTGCAACCTTAGCACGCTAGACCCGCCTGATCGTGCGAGTTGCGTCTTGAAAAGGGCTGGCAGGAAGGGATTGTAAACCTGCGCGAAACAGCACTGCCTCGGCCGATGAGGCAGACATTCCAGAGGGCAAGGGGCGTCTTCATGATGCCGATGCGGGGGCTCCCAGGAAGTTTAGTGGACTGGGGGAACTCCTTGCCGTGCAGCTGCATGGCCAACACTTGTTCGCTGGATTTCGCTGCGTTGCCAGCAAGTTAACACCATTGTATCATTGTGGTGTATGTACTCCGATGTTCCGATGTTCTCAGGAGCTGAGCGACTATGTGGGCGAGTTCCATGAAGGCTTGAGGTCAGGTCAGGGGCCGCGCGGCGGCATTCGCGTGCTGGATTGTGATGTTTTGCGCTGACGTTGCTATGTTGTGCAGAGTGTGTTGTGAGCGATGATTGAATGTGGCCAAAGACCACCTGCTACGTAGACACTACGGGTTGACAGCGTTGATTGATATCATGCTGTTGAGCCGATCCTGCAATGGCGCCACTGCTTGCAAGACTCCAGTTTCCGGGTACTGAATCGAGCTTTGGTCAGGAAATGTACATATGAGACGACTGGAGAAAAATTCTCTGGCGAACCTGTGCCGCAACCAACAAGGGAGAGCGTCGCACGGTGAAGGCCCCAGAGTGTCCTTGATGCTGCAACTGCGCACGCCCATGCAGGAATGGAAGGGTGGCGTGAGAGTACAAGGGATTATGTTCCTGAAGTCTGGAGAAGTCGAGAAGGTTGGCTACCTCAACGTGGCTTGGCGAAGACCTGAAGCGGTGGCTTTGTGCTGGTCACTTGAACCTCTCACTCCCATCCTTCATGTAAGGACAAGGTCGTGAGACGAGAGCCTCTGGGCAGCAACGCGAAAATTTTCAATCTTGAGGCCAGCTAAATTTTAAAGCTTCAAACAGGCTTGGACGAACCCCCAATGCTTGCTTGGAGCGATGGGAGCCGAGGAAGCTAAGCCAACCAGAGCAGCAGCGTCTGCTGGCGGAAGAGACGGGCGAAGTACCTCTGAATAAGGACCGTGTCAGCTATGTATATCTACAAGTGTATATATATATATACACACCCACACATATATATATATATATATATATATATCTATATAAGACGTCCGAGGGGCAATGTGTTTTTTCAGGAGCCTGCATCTGATGAGTTGATGGACGTCCTTCCGGTGGACCAGGCACTGACTTGGTGCCGACAACGATAAGTTTTGTCATATTGATATTGTTGCCAAGGTTGCAGCTCTAGGGCCTGGTCCTGCAGAAGCAATCGCCACCTGACCACTTTGTGTACATGTGTGCTACGCGTTTCACCTTTGTGAGTTAGGTTTATGATCTGAGCCGCAAGCAGCTTCATCTTCAGGCAAGGCAGGGTGTGGTGGGGCGTAGCGGCGTGCCCGCCAGTTGGACCATGACTTGCGACTTCGGTCGGTTTCACCATGTCAGTGGATGGGGGCTGAAAGGCAAGTGGCCCACGCCGCTTGATGCAAAGCTCGTCACTTGTGTCACTGCATGCGGAAAGCATTGCCTTCTTGCCACAGCTTTGAGCTGCTCTGTGCGAGTGTGATGACGGAATTTTCTTTTGGTTCTGCTCGATTCGAGTTGTTACCGCAGCCTCATGGATCAGAGTGGCAATCATGCCGATGACTCGGGGCTTGGGATTTGCTTCGGATGCCGTTCGCCGCCGGAGCCAAGGCCATGTGGGAGAGATCGCTAGAATCCGAGCGCGCCCATGCTCCCCTGAACCCCTGGCGGCTCACAACTTCTGCTGGTACTGGTGGTTTCTCGCTACTCGTACAATGTGAATCTCGCTGTCCAGGTCCTGTTGATGGTACCTCTTGCTGCCAAAGGCCTTGCGCATCCTAGCTCTGCTCGTGTCTTTCTTTCTAGCGCAAGCTGCGTCAGATGATGCTGGTCTCGGTATCAAGAGCTCCGAACTGAAAACGGACCCCATACACGGGGGCGTGGGTCATGAGCCTTAGGAAGAGGCCCCATTCGGTGATTAAAGTTCATGCGCCGACGAAACTTCGTCGAGGGAGTAGTAAGTTACAAGCCATGCGTAACTGACATTTGCATATGTGCACATGGTAGAAAGAGTGTATGCAAGATGTGCACAGAAAGCCTAAAGTATCCTAAAGTGGGGTTCAAGAAGCTCATGTCTGGCAGGCTTCTCCTGCCCTACAGCTAGGTTTCCACCCAGGTGTGACACACCCAGAAGGGAAAGGGAAGCTTGGCTTCATTTTCCTGACATTATGTGTGGTGTGTGGTAAAGCAGAGCCCCACCTCAATCTTCCAAGCCGGGTCCTTTTGCTCTTCGATTCTCGCCGAGGCTGGGCGAGTCGCCTGCAGGCAGACCGCGAGCCAGAACTTTGGGTCCTCACGGAGCACGCCTGCTCGCCCGATGCCTTTCTTGTCGACCGAGCGGGTTGAGGCCGTGATTATGCATCATTACTGGCAGTGTCCAGACTGGTTTGAGGAGCTCTGCTGAAAGTGGGAGCAAAAGAAGCAGAATGCTTTGTTCAATAGCTGCAGGCTCGCTTCCTGCCAGCCTGGTTCAGCTGTGTGGCCGCAGATTGGCTACAAGGAGCTGCTGAGCATAACGGACGAGGAAGGATTGGATTCTTGCTCGTTCAGTAAGCGTTTCGCCCTCGAAAATTAGCATCCCGCAACTTCATGTTAAGGTGCTCAGGCCTCTGAGAATCGACGGGCATCCTTGCACATGTTGTCCACGCACGTGCATCACGGACATGGCGCTTCCACTTGGCCCGAGGGAAGGATGCGGCGGTTCCACGATGGTTCCACAGTGAATCACGGCGAGCCGTGAGATCCGTAAGATCCTTGAGGGGTTCGCATGGCGTCTGCAGGACCTTACCTGTACGCGCTGTTTGCCGACAGGGGGCTTAGCTCCTCAACTGAAAAAACAATCCTTGACACGTAGGTTGGAGCCAATGGGTTTTCTGATTCCACACCATTCAAGATCCAATCCCATGGAGTGATTGGAGTGCAGGCTGAGGCAGCTACCCAATATACCGTGAGCTACCAGTCTGCTAAGGCAGCCTGGCTATCGCCAAGCTCTTTGCCATTGGCTTCGTTGCTTCGGCAGCGCTGGGATCCGTGGCTGGGCGGCTCTGCGACCGGCGCCTTGGCTTCGCAATGCTCTTCGCGTCCAACTGGGGTTGCTACTGGGGATTGTACTGGGTGGCTCTAGAGTTGGAATTATCTTGGTCCCCTCAATAGGGCAGTTCGTTTCAGCTCGCGAAAGACCAAAACCCCGTCGCCGAAGGATTGGCACAAGATGTGGCTGTCAGCTGTACTGCGTCTGGAGCCCAGAGCCTGAGCAAGAAGCACCGGGAAATACTTTGAGCTTTCGACATGTCTGAAGAAGTCATTGAAAGTTTTGGCAGCTAGAAGCAGAGCACCCTGCCGGCACGTTTTCTGGAGCGTTGCTCTCGTTGAGGCTTGTGCGGGACTTTCTTGCCTCCTCATGCATAGCGCCGCACTGCCCATCTTGGCCTTCAGTCGGGTCTTGGGCGGGATCTCGGTGGCTTGGTGTAAATTGTGACGGAACAGGCTGAACAGTGGCCGACCCACATATCCACCGTTCTCAGTGGGTGCCAGATGTTTTCTTTCTTGTTCTTGGTCTATGACCTGTCTGAGCTCACCTCGTGCAGTCTATCTCTCACTCTCTCTCTGTCTCTCGCTCTCTCTCTCTCTCTCTTGTTTCTCTCTCTCTCTCCCTCTCTCTCTCTCTCTCCCTCCGTCCCTGCCTCCCTCTCCCTTCTCCCAAAACAAGGCCCAAAAAGGGCCAGCCGATCCGAGTGGTGATGCCAAGCTGAACCAGCCTTTGCCCGCTCCCGCCCACGAGTGACATCATCAAAAGCTCTCTTTGGCAGGAATCGTGCATCTGCAATGATTAAGTTCGCAGATGCACCCTCGCATTCATATACGTATGTCAAGAACTCTGTGCACAATTAATTGGCAAGCATCGGAAGCGAATATTCAAGAGCCGAATGCTGCAAGAAAGGAAAAAAGCTTCCAGAAAAGGTTCCGAGACATCGCGTCAGCAACACAAGACATGGAAAACTCAAAGACTGCAAGGTGTCTGATCTTTGCCTTGAAAACCTGACGTGAGGGCTTTCTTGGAGACAGAGCGTACTTCACTGGTTCCCCTTCCCCCCCGTTTGCCATGTCGCACTTGACCTATGCTTCCAGGATTCTTTGCTTTACACAGCCTTCGAGGCATGGGCGATTGAGGCGGGCCCAGACTGTGATTCGGCTCACCGCCACTTTGGGTGAGAACGAGGGGGACGTACCATGAGAGTCAGTGTCAGGAGCACAAGTGCCAGCCTTTCTCTACTGATGCTGGTTTGCGGCGGCTCCTGTCGCGCACCTTCGCTGCAGCGCTGCTGGTATTTTCACATCGGCGGTCTCGCATGCCTCCCCTTTCTTTTTTTTCTTCCTCTCTTTCTTTAAATCTCTCTCGCTCTCGCTTTCTTTCTCACTATCACTCTCACTCTCACACTCACACTCACACTGACTCCCGCTCTCGCTTTCTCTCTTCTGTTTGGCATGGCAGGGGCAGATTTGACCTTGTTTCATGGTGCCAGAGAGCTGTAAACTGTAAAGCAGAACTTGCTTTCATGCGCAGGAAGATGATGTAGGGAAGCCCTTATTGAAGTTCCTTTGTACCGACACACCCACCCCAAGCCCTGCGCCTTCCCCTTTGTGGCTTGACCAATATGTCGCATCTTTGTTTCGCTTCATTGCAGGTTGTGGTTCAACGGGCCCAGTAAGTATCAAGATCAAAGACGCAAAGAGTAGACGCATAGTAAGTAATGCAGAAAATGGGTTTCTAAACTCGCTGCAAGAAACTTAGATGCACTTCATGTTACTTGTGGTGGCTACGAGTGCCTTTCTACACCTGCCCTGTAATTGAAGGCCCCGCCTTTGCTGCAGGAAAAATTGGGCTGTTCTCATGTTGCGCAGCCTTCCTCTGCGAGACCCCTATGCATGCGATTGCGGTTGACATGCAGATCGTGTACGCTTGCCCTAGCATGGCTTCCAGTGGCCGTTTCGGCATGTGGAACAAGCGTGCACAACAAGAGCACAACACATGGTTTCGACGAAGGTTCAGTTGCAGACAAAGAGTCGAGCAGTGGCCTGCACCGTGGCAGCCCAAACAAGTTTGCAACACTGCAACACGCTGTAGCTGAAGTTTCATTGGTAGCCCATGCCCCCGGACCAGCTGCGCCTGGCTGGCTATGACAGACAGGGAGGCGGTGTGCGTGGGTGTTCGGCTGCGTCCATTTGTCGCCTATGAATCTGGGCAAGAGCAGTTGTGACCTCAGCACGTGAGGGGCAAAGAACAGCTCTGTTTGCTCTGTGGATTCTAAAGGAGGACAGTCAAACCCAAATTTCTTTATCCTTTCAGGTGCCTCACGATCGAGGACAACATCGTTCATGTCGACCCAATGGTTGCCGAGCAATCCCAAAAAGCTAAGGCAAGGTTGTGTGATTTGTTGGCTTGCTGACGCAGCCACACACTTTCGTGCTTGCTTTCGGAGGTGCTCGAGTTCGCCTTCGACTGCGCCATGGACAGCACGAATCCCAACGCACGAAGCTACGTGTCCCAGGATAAGTGCTATCAGATGATGGCGAAAAGGTGCGACATCCCTAGGGGGCGTATGGGCAGCAGGTCCAGCTACCACGCACAAGAGCTCTTGAGTTGCCTTGGGCCAGGATGGTGGACCACGTCCTTGGAGGCTACTTCAGTTGCCTTTTTTGCTATGGACAGACCGGCACCGGTAAGACCACCACCATTATGGGAAAGGTCGCTTGACCTTATCCAGCTGCAAAGTGGGTGCTGCACGAAGAAAGTTGCGAAGTGGTTTTTGATTCCTGTGACCGGTGGCCCGCTGAGGTGGAGCCGGTCTCAGAGCAGGGCCTACTGCTCCGACTGATGAATGACCTTTTTGCAGAGTGCCCCCGAAGCATCTTTTTGGCCAGGCAGTCCCAGTCTCATCGGCATCCTGTGCCTAGGATGGCTGAGCTGCAAAGTCAAGGCTGCGAGGTGCACTGCAAAGTCCAGATGTTGGAGGCTTTGCCTTGGGCTTGCTTTGGGTCCCTGTTTTTATTGTTTTGTTTTTGTTTTTTTCATCGTTCGCCGCGTGCCACCTCTGCTTTGAGCCCAAGAGCTGTGCACCGAGCGGTGCGGTGATCGATCTCTTGATTTGACCCAGCACCCAAAACGGCAACTCCAGAAGCGGCTCCTGATCACACCCTGAACCCTCAGCACATTTGGAAGGTTTACAATGAGAAAATTAAAGACCTCCTGGTCCCCATGAGTGGTCCCTCGCCGAGCATCTAGAAAAATGACAGTGGTCTTGAAGCAGCACAGGTGGCACATCGTAAAACAAATCCCAAAAGCTTCCAGCCAAGGCAAAGATGGAAAGCATCGCCCTCACCCTGAGGTACACGTACATCCAAAGTTGGGAGTGTGCCTTCGCTGCACCATCAGCAGAAGCGCAAATTTCTTCGTGCGGTGGGCCATTCTCAGGCGAATCCTGTTAAACACCACCTAGGTACGTGAAGGGTGTCGCAGACGAGCCGGTGGAGTCCTTTGAGAACTGCGTGCAGCTCATCGAGCCCCTAGCCGCACATGGGACCTGTGGCTTCAGCTGACTGCAGCTAAACCCTGCTTTGTGCACGTCCCTATTGAACGTGGCGCTGTGTTAAGACAATTCCTTAGCCAGCCTGGAACGAGCGAATCATCGTAGCTCCTTCAAGGTATGGGAATACCATGAAGACGGTGGCGGCCACAGCGATGAATGCCAAGAGCTCACGCGCACACACGATCTTCAAGCTTATGGTCGAAAAGCGTGGCCAGGATGTATTTCTGTTTCGGTAGACAGTATAGAGTGGGACACTCTCTGGCTACAAGTCTTCGCACCGTGATTTCGCGAATGCCGAGGTGGGGGAGGCGACACTACCATCGTGACGTCTGAAGCCTTCTTCGTGGATCTGGCAGGCAGAGAGAACGAGAAAACCACAAAAGCAGCATGGCTTGAGACCATGTCTCGCACAATACAACGGCTCCAGTTTCGTCTTGCAGACCCGCCTTTTCTAAAGTTGGTGCATAGGTGAACCGGCGCGTTCAAAAGGATGTGATCAACATCCGCAGGAAGTGCGAGGTTACGAGCTTGCTTCTTGATCTAAGGTCTCGGGCGAAAGGTTGGTGGAGCTGACCTTCATCAATCAAAGCCTGATGTGGTTGGCAAGCTGCATACAAGCCCTGGCCAAGCCAGACACAAGGAAGTCTATGAGCGCCGCAGCATCCGGGCACGCCATGATGTCCAGATTTCGGAATTCCAAACTGACCCTGTTGCTGTCCAACGCACTGAGCGGGAATTCCAAGACTTCCATGATCGGCACGCTGAGCCCCGCTTTAGCCAACTTCGAGGAGAGCTACAGCACGCTAACCTTTGCATCCACAGTCAAGAACATCAAGATCAAGGCAAAGCCAGCGACCGCTGTGGACAAGGATGCCTTGGTGAAAACCCTGCAAGAGGAGCTGCACTCCTTGAAGGAGCAACTCGCAGAGGCCCAGGAGAAGGTCCATGCAGACACATTGACGGATAAGTTGGAGGCCACAGAGGCCTTGGTGGAGCGATACAGGAAAGGATGGAACGAAGCCTCCAGTGAGGCGAAGCGGCTCATGTCCCAGCGCGGGGCTGCTCTGGAGAAGCTTGGAGCACCCCGCTGGAGCTGGGCCATGAACCATGTGCTCATGGCGAACAAGGTGCAGCAACGCCAAGTCCCACACCTCTCCAACTACTCCGAAGCGACTTGGCCCGGCAGAGCCCTCCTAGACCTGCTTCCATGTCGTTTTAGACCGCCGGGAAGCTAGAAGCAAATCATGCGGCGAGAAGGACATGAACGAGAACTCGCATACCACGTCTAAAGGAAAGATATAGAACGCAACTAAGCAACGTGCAGTTGCAGGAAGTGATGATGTGACCATCCATGCGCTCGCAACCTGATGATGATAGCGTTTTGCAGCATCAACCAACACGTCCTGTTCAACTGTTTCATGTAGACGTTTGCTGTCTCACGAAGGTTAACACGTGACATCAGAAGCCAGCATCTGGCTTTGGGTGTTTAACTGGCTAACCGTGGATCAGTGAATGCCATTAGAACAACGAGGGGACGGGCACAGAACCACAAACTATTAATCAACGGTCCCGCGAATAAACTTCACGAGCTTCTCGTAATGTATGAATAACAGCCGTTCGTGGAGCGTTTGCGAAGGGGTAGTTTTGGATATGGCCGCCTCTCCAGCCCCCACAACCCTGCGAGCACCATTGAATGTTTTAGCGTCAGGCGTTGCCAGGTGAATCGTGCAGATTCAAATCCACAATTCTACTACTATTTGCCCAATGGCGATGATGGCGGAATACATGCGGATCTGTAGGGAGGGTCCGGGAGGGTCGGGCGACCCCACCACCGACTAACAGAAGTGTCCGCCCATGCCAGGTTGTGAACTTGAGGGTTACGCCACGTCACTCGTAAAGTGCAATCGCCAGAAAAGTGTTTGGAATCCTGTAATTCCGAAATTGATTTTTTTTGATTAAGTGGCATGTCGAGGGGATGTTAGTTCCCGTTGAGGATCCGCATATGCGGGGCCGGCTGATGTTCCATCCAGCGCAGCCGCATCGTGAGTACTCTCTTGGCTACAACCAGAACGAGTGCGACTTCTTGGTTCCGCATGGCCTAGGCCTCTCAGCTTAAGACTGTGCGCAGCCTCCCGAAAGTACGCAGAAATGAATTAGTTCCGACACGGCCGACTGGTATGTCTTCCGTCGACGCTGGGTGTCGAGCATGCTTCTGGCCGTTGGGCAGCCAAGAGTGCAGTTCCTTCGTTCTGAGGCATCCAGCAGATCACTTGCTTCATCCGGAAGGACAGCGAAGGCCGCTTATTCCTCCGACCAGCGGCACAGTCAGACAGGAGCCATGTTGTTGCAGCAGATGTGGAGGGTTCGCCGGAGTCAGACCTGTTCTTCAGTGCTCGCCTCCATTCCTGCATGTGAATGTGGAGATGTTCAATGGAAGGTTGGCACAAGCACCTTTCGCAATTCCAAGTCTTTGCCATACTTGGTGTGAAACATTGGACAGGAGCAGCAGCAGTAGTGAGGAGGAGTGGCATCCCACCAAGAAGGCGGATGGCGCAATCTCCAGCATTGAGGCTCCAGCGCGGTATGTCCAGTCGTGTGACGTCGCATTCGCGTTTGGAGTCAGCGCTGTTGCGTGTAGAGGTGAACGGTGTTCAGCTGAAGACACTTCAAGAAGTGCAGCTGCAGCATTTGGACTGCGTTGTTCTCGGCCGCTCCGTCATGCTGTACGTCTTGGCCTGAGCCTGTCAACTGAAGCGCAGTCAAGCTGTTCCAACAGCTGTGCGCTGCTTGCATTTGTGTGCTACGCATGCCTGTTTAATTTTTGAATCATGATACTTAAAGTTGAAAAATGTTCCCAGGCAAACAGAATAAAGACTAGTTGCGGCCACTTTCAGTCCGTATGTGCCGGCTGCATTGCTTCACGAGGCTTTCACCAAGCCCGGAAGCGACATCCATTCTCTTCCAGCGGACAAAGCTGTGGGGCGACCTTCGCAGCAGGAGCAAGCAAAGTTACCGGATGTTTAGCACACTGTAGGTCCGAGCGCTTGTTACTTATTTCTTTAGGGCTTAGGGCCGGCAGCAAGCATTACGTGCAGAGACCCAGGCCACAAGGTGCTAGGGACAAAGAGAGAGAGCCGGAAAGGAGTCTCTGATCCTGGAGATTCTGGGGATGGACCGAGCTGAGCAGCCGGGTCAGCTTCAGATGGCGCTGAAGTACATGTCCGAGCTGAAGAGCCACAACCTGGCTACTCAGAATACAGAACAATAGCCAGACTTGTCTTTGGAGCTCCGGAGATTTCTAGCAGTGAGAAGACATCTAAGGATAGTGACGGAGCGACGTCCGTCCAGGAGTTCCTGCTCATGGCCCAAAAGGCAGCCCCAGACTCTGCTCTGCTACTGTAGAATGCCTTTTGTGGCGTTATCTAGCCACAACCCGTCACTCCTCGGAAGTGGGATGCGCCACGACAGCATAGTGACAGCATCAAATCCCTGTTCGGAGGCAGCCACCATGGTGGAGGAGGCGAATCAGATCACCGCCGAGGTCAAGCCAGGTGGACAGACAAACCTTAAGCTCCCGAGTGAAGATGGCACTGCTTTTCTGTGCGTTTGCCTGCATTTCCCTTCACCGCCCTCGCCTGTCCTCACTCCAATGATGTGTGTGGAACTCTCAGGTTCGAACTCTGCACCATCGCACCTATCTTGGCCTTGGGGTACGGTCGTTCCCTGTGCCCAGAACTGTCGGTCCGACTCGTGCGACAGATGTCACCCAGCCAGGCGAAAGCCAAAGCCTCTGCAATAAGTGCACGGCGAGCGTCCCTGCATTCTAGCGAGATCCTCTTGGAACAGTTTTCGTCTGGAGCTGGCGGGGTGGGAACAGATGAGGTGGAGGTGCTGTACAATTGGACCTTCGAGAAGTTCTGTTCCCGTCTACAGATTATGCAGGAGGTTTGGCAAGCACATTCCGAAGACCCTGAGAACTTTGATCTGGATGAGTTTAACCACCCTTGGTCAGAGCAGGGCCCAAGCGAGTTGGCAGAGCTTAGGCAACGATACGACAGCTTGCGGGAAAGCATCGTTTCGGCTAGCCCGAAGAACATGACTGATCCACAGGCTGCCATGCAATCACCAAGGAGCACTTTTGGGCCACATGGCATGCGGAAGCAGAATGAGAGGCTTGAGGAAGAAAACCAAAGGCTAAGGCAGCAGGTGAGTGAGCTGAGCAATTCATTGATGCTGCACTCTCGGCTGGGTCAAGTTCCCCAGACTGGGAACAACGCCGTGCGTGTCAACCAGGCTTCATTTCCCGCGGACCACACGCCAGATTCAATCAAAGGTATCCTGGACTTATCCAAAACGAACTTGCTTCTGGTGCTTGACTTGTTTGATACCCTCTCCCGGCTCAGCAGCAGCATGTTGAATGCCTCAGCTGCATGCCTGAAGACCACACCTGACGGCAGCTCTGTTGGCGGCACTGCTGTGGATGAGGCACGAAGACGTTTGGCCGAAGCCTCCTCGGACTTGGCCAACTTCTTTGCGGAGACATCGCCGAACTTGGGCCCGGTAGGTGTCGATTCCATCAAGGATGTATCATACTCCACGTATTCCACTTCCTCTTCTCCAAGTGCTCAAGTCCCACAACGTGTCCTGCCTGTCGGGGCTGTCGGGTCTGTCGGGGGCCCCATTGTCGCCTCGACGCCTTGGGTGCGGGGACCCGTTGTCCCCAGCGTGAGCCCCAGGCCAGCAGTGTGGATGCCGGTTCAGGGAATGCAGGCGAGCCGTCAGCAAGCCCCGTCTTGATCCACTGCAGCGTATCGCGGCCAAGACTCCTGGGTGAAATTTGGCAAGCTGGGAACCGATGCTATATGCTTCACTCCACGTCCACTCCAAAGTTGAGGGGATCGCAAAGTGCGCGTAGCATTGCGTAGCATGTTCGCCCCTTCGGGGCCTCGTTGGATGTCCAAGCTGGGCAAGCTCAAAGTCTGCCCACTGTCGATATCTCTCAATGTTAACGCCCTTGCCGGATCCAGGCATAATTATTGCACTATGTCGACTATGTGGCACCGTTGGTGCCGAGTGCCCAGCACAGTCCTGGTGTCTTAGGCTGGGGAGTGGCAGCGGCATTGATAATGAAACGGGGCAAGTGAGCAAGCGAGCTGCATTGAGCATTTTGCAATCCAGGCCCTTCCAGCACTCTTGCGTCTGAACGAACCCTCTCCAAAGCAGAGACACGTTGAGAAGGCCATCTCGGCCGATCTGCAACTTTAGTTTTTAGCTTAGGCATGTGGTCTGGAAGCTGGCTGATCGCAGTCCTCTCCGGCATCGTGGGCAATACCGTTGTCAGTGCGATTCCAACCACGTGCCTTGGTGCAACGTGTCTGCTCCTTAAGTGCAGCGAGCGAAAGCCCTGCTTACTGCGGAGTTCCTGGATGTTTCTGACATGTGATTTTTGAGTCGAAATGCAGCATTGCCATGACCAAATGGAAGCGGGGGCCGGCCCAATGCGAGAGTCTTGCACAAGAACGAGGGGAAGAAGCCTATGTTGGCGAGTGCCTCAAGATTCTCTAGGAAGTGCATGTTTCGCATCGCGGCCAAGGCATCACGAAGTCAGGCTTGACAACTGGAAGCTGAACACAAGTGTGGCTGCTTGTTCTGGAATCTGCATCTGATGAGCTTTCCTGACCTGTGCCACAACGTTTTTACGAATCGGCGCATTTTCTGGTGCAGAATCTCCTGGGTCCACGGTAAGGCCATGGGAGGGCCGGCTGCAGCTTTTGATCTGGCAGCCATCTTCTGCTTGATTGGCGCCCTCCTCATCTCTGCTCCTTGGACTCCTTGGCACGATCTCAGAACAGCTCTCTTTCGATGTATCATTTATAAATTGCGTGTGTGCGTGTGTGCGTGTGTGCGTGTGTGCGTGTGTGCGTGTGTGCGTGTGTGCGTGTGTGCGTGTGTGGGTGTGTGTGTGTGTGTGTGTTGGTTGTGTGTGTATCCGGATAAGAGGAGTTTCAAGCCCCACTGTCCAAACGCCGATTGCAGACTTGCCCAGGTCCTTTGGCAGCCTCGGGTGCCTGGCGAAAGGTCGACGAAGCCGTCAAGTCGACTCTCGGCAGCGCGTTTCTTCTTTGGCATGGTGTACTGTCAATATAAACAAGAATAGAAGACTCCACCCTGTGCTGGGTGATCTGAACTGAACGGGAGTCCTGCGGCTCTGGCAGTTTGACCGTTCTGCATTCTAGTGCTTCTTGGTCGGAGGGCCACGCATTTCATGATCGGCGCTTGTGCAATTTCGTATGTCACTTGGAGGGCCTGGAAGACCGCAGAGGTCTCGAGCCTTCCTGCGTCCGGGCCCTAAAAAGCAGAACTTGTGAGTATTTGGGGGCTGGTCGTACAACCAGGTCTCTTGGCTCTGTTGCCATTGTTCTCGTGTCGTAGCATGCGGCGCCTCAAACATGTTGCTACGCGAACCAGTCTCGACTTAGTCGGCCCACTTCCCTCCTTGCAGAGGCCTCCAAAGAGCTGTTCGTGACGCAGCTGCTTCCTGGATAGAGGGGCTCCGGCAGGTGCATGCAGTGCCTCGCCTCCAAATTAGACAAGAGGCCAGACCAGAGAGGCAAGTGATGGCAGTCGCGTGGGTTTTGTGCTGTTTGGGGGCATTCCAATCATGGTGGCGGCACTTGCACCCGAAGCCCAGGCAATCACAGCTGACACATCAGTGATTCTGTACGGCGCTGTTACAGCCGCCTTTGAAGGGGCTTTATTTGTGGCTTGGACTAGCATCACGTTCGGCTGTCGCAGCTAGCGATAAGGGAAATGGCCTCATGGCAGATTCTGTTAGATAAGCTGCTACGTGCATGATGAGGTGTTTGTCTTCAGTTGGACCCCGGTGCTCCTTGCCGCTACACCGTCTTTAGCTACGCATCTGGGGCTCCTTGGCTCCTGTTTTAGGGGCCCCTGCCTGTGAACATTGCAGAGTAGTACGGGGCTTGCCAGCAAGGTTGGTTTTCTCGGCCTTCATGCTGGATCCTGAGCTGCCCCAAGTGCAGGAAAAAAAGAACCCCGAAAGCGCGCAGTCTGTTATGCGATCTTATGCACGTCAGGGCCTCCTGCGCTTGTGGCTCCTGGTGCTTCAACTTCTTGCCGTGGCCTCGGGGCTTGGGCAGCGGGGGTCATGAGAAGATAGGATGCTGCAAACTCATACGGCCTCCAGCTACTTTGAGTGGAATGAGGTCCGCGAGGTGGCGCCTTGGATCAATGGTCTGTTTACGAGTTGCCGCGCCCTGTTTAGGCTGGTGCTTGGGATGTTCAGTGTGAAGTCCGCCTGAGGAGCCCGGAGCGGCTCCTGCAGCCGCTCCTCACTCTTGCAGCGCTGACGCTACTTGCGGCGGCATATGCAGCCAAGATGCAGTCCGTACTGCTGGCATTGGCCGCTTGGACTTAAATTTAACGCTGGCACACCATGGCACACCCCACTTTCCAAGAGTGCTCTTTCCAAGAGTGGCTGGCAATGAGGGCATTGTGTGCTATTCTTTCCTGAGGCTTCGTTCGTGCTCTTCGAGTGGTGCGTCGGGATCTACTTCCCATGCATAAGCACGGTGAAAAGCCGCGTGGTGCCAGACAGTGTGAGTGGCCTGGCAGAGGTTGGTTTGCCACCCTTGCTTGTGCTTCCGCAAGTCGTTAGGCGGTATCAAGTACCCTCCATTATGCTGCCATACAGTGGCCCACTGAGGGACTCTTGTCTACAGCCTGTATCGGGTGCCGCAAAATGCTTTCGCACTCGGCGTCCTGCTTCGTGTGAGCCAGGGCCAACACTCGCAAAATAGGATGTGGATGGGATAACGCCCTTTCTGGGAAACTGCATAGGTACCTTCACACAGCACTGCCCTGGTGGTGTGCGCGGTGGCAGCTTCAGCTGTTGATCGGCAAGTGCCCCCAAAAAGATGACTGTTCAAAGGGACAGTGTACCTTGCATGCAATTGCATCTCATGACCTGAGGTCGCACTTCTCCTGGTCGAGGCAGCTGTGTGTTCGGATCTCAGTGACTGTAAAGTGCGTTGGCTACACCGATGTCGCGCAAGCCCAAATCATGAAGGGCTGTGTTAATAGCAGGCTCACAGCTGAGGCAGGCGATCTCCACACGGGCAGCGTGAAGTATAGCGCGTGGGACAGGCCTAATCGTTCAACCAATGCCGACCAAACTGACGAGATCGTTCTCCCGTGCGAGCAACACGTCGCTGAGCCTGCATGAAGTGGACTGACCGCTGGACGCGTGTAGTCACCGACATCCTCTGGACGTAGTATCTATGATTCATGTGTGCTGCTCTTGCATGCATGAATCTCAAACGGGCCGTGTGCTTGCGCTTTGGTGCAGTTCTGACCCAAATTCGGTCTGTGGGGAGGGCGGTCTGTGGCCAATTTGGACACTGAAGCTTGTGCCCTGTTGTAAGATCCCGTCTTACTGACCGCCAAAGAGCTGTCCGAGCTACCAAGCCTCCATGTGCCTCACAGACGGCAGGAAAAGATACTGATTGGTGCTGCCAGGCATGGAATACTATATGGACTTACTTGCAGATGTGATGCCACGTCACTACCGGCGCCACCAGGTTATAGGCACCGCACAGCTACCATTGGCACGATGCGTCGTGCAGTTATTGTGAAGGCCTCACAGCTCATACGTGAAAGCAATCACTCCCTACACTGTGTAAATTTCTCCCTATGCGTACCATCCATGCCTTGGCATACGGATTGAACTCCCTAGTCGCATGACAGCCCCTTAGCCAGAGACAGCAAGACGCAGAGAGGCTACTGTGAACCATAGAGGTGGAAGCTCAAAGCCAGAATCTGCCTAAATTGATCCAAAACGTTAAGAAAAGTTGCCATGGAGACAGCAACCTATGAGTATCCGGTGGCACTGGGGCTCGCATACATTCTGCTAGCTGGGCGCCTCCAGCTCAAGAGAAGTTCAGCCGCTGAATCAATCCAATCTTTATGCCGCAAGTTCTGCAGTAGGGCTGCCGTAGGGTCTTTTAAGGTGCGTCATCCGGGCAATCTTCGTGTGCTTCGGATTGCCGGCCTCCGTAGGCTGGTAGATTGATGAGCATGCCATCTTGCAGGAGGTTGCGCCGCCATTTCTTGTCACGCCCCCCTGAGCCCCTGAGCCAGGTGTAATGCTAAGTGGATTCATTTTTCAACACTTCTTCCAGAACGATCTCTTCTTCGCCCGGGACGAGCTGCAAGGGTGGGTGTTCTGATTTGGGGGGCTTGGGGAGGATTGAGCCACAACAGGGGGCACCTGCTGCATTGTGCGCGGTATTGGTGTGTTCGCGAGGCTCTCCTTCTTCCTTGTGCTTCTCATCGCTGGCCTGGAGATTCGGTCTAAAGACCTGCAAGGTCACATCTTTGTGCAACTTGTCCGCACACCTGAGCACGGTCAGCGAGTACAGCTACTTGGAAGGACATTGCCTGCGTGAAGACCTAACTCAGGATGGCCCTACTTCCTGCAAGTTTCGAGCTGCTCGGGATCGCGGTGTATGCCCACTACGCTCTGCGCTCAGCAGGCTCGTTGGAAAGTGGCCATGCAGGGCCCAGGGCGCTGCTACACTGATGCATGCTATTGAGGGCATGGGGGAAGCCCGACATTCTGAGGTGTTCATAGGACCGTTCAAAAGTGCTTAAACTTAAGCCCTGCAGATGTCGGGAATCCGGAAGCTACTCTGACCGTCGGAGTAGAGGCCTGTGTTGTAGCTGCACAACTCCTAGGTGCTGGAGTACACGCCAGTCGAGGGGATGGTGCTGGGCAGCGTCCTTGTTGCCATGGGTGATGGGCTGGTAATTCCCAAAATGAAGGAGAGACCTTTGGCCCGGCGCTGTTGTGATCATTGCTGGTTGTTGCCTTCACTGTGGGTTGCAGGAGTTCTCCCAAACCTTCTCGGATCATCCGCTGCCACGGTTGGTGTTTGCATGGGCCCCATTGGAGGCAGGCATGGTGTTGCATCCCGAAATCAAACGGGGGCCAGGAGACCAATGATTGAGACACGGTCCGGTCAGCTGAGTGGGCACATGATTCCTCTCTTCTCTCCTGCCCTCCCTGCCACAAAAGAAGATGCTGTTCAAACAGGACCTCCAAAAGCACGTAAAGCATCAAACGCGTGCATTTTAGAGATAGCCTCTTTGACTTTCACCCTTGGGGGATTTTTTGGGGCGCCAGAGAGGCATCCTTTGCGCTGACCGCCTTCGGAGTTCTCACAGGCCTGGCGTCGCCGGCCCACCAGGCACCGACCCCCCTTGGAACCATCCTCCTTGCAAACCTTCTGCGCTTGGCTGCGACGCTGGTGCTGGGCTTCGTACTAGGCGGGGGCCCAAAAGAGGGAAACATTGAGACACGGAAAACTGCTGCCAGCACACCCAAGCAACTCAAGCAACCCTGGAGGATGCGTGAGTTCCTGGTTCATCGCCAGCAGGCAGAAGCCCATCTTGCAAAGGCTCTTCCACGATCCAGACACTGAAGGTCTGAGACCCGGCAAGGACGAAAGGACGGCCATGTGCGCTGCTGGGGGGGGGGTCAGTGTACTCTTTGCTCCCGGTGGCAGCCTGAAAGTAAACACCCTTGGCAGAGCTGGGCGGGCACTCCGTGGCTTTGCTCCTCTCTCCCACTGCCCTTGCACCACACGTTTTCTCCTATTCCATGCCCCGATGGCCTTTCTCTGCCAACAGTACCTGAGAACAGTTGCTTTCGACAAAGTTTTTGCTGAGCTGCCTTCGTTGCCATCAACAAAGGCATGCTGCGCTGCCTGAGTTTAGGCAGGCATGCAGGGGAGAGAGTGAGAGAGCAAGATTGCAGATCGACGCGTATCTGAATATGGGACAAGGTGGCAAGACGGAAGGCTTCCTTATCCTCATCTCCGTGGCGCTCATTGCTTTGTCTCTGGGCAAGGGCGAGTCGGGGAGCGAAGTGGTTCCGATGGGGTTCTGCCCAGGCCTGCGCTGCAGGGTGTCTGAAAACTCTGACACCGAATAGCAGGTCATGCTTCGTGAGCCCAGTTGCTATGCACAGTAGACTCAGTAGACATATGCAGACCCTGCCTGAGGGGCACACCGCTCACTGTTCCCAGGCTCCATGTTTCAGTCTGAGCTGCTCGTCATCATTACGGCTTCGGTCTTTGCCAATCGGTGCTGCGACGCGTACCAGAGCCCGAAGATCGTGTCAGACATCAATACCGTTGTTGGCCAAGTCTGGGTGTTTGGACAGGTGTTTCTGTTCAGCATGTTGGGCAGCAAGATGACGCTGGACATTCTACCCGAGCTAAAGAGCTTGGGCCCTGTTATGGTATGTGGTCTGCTCGCCCGGGTGGTGGGTGTCACTGCCGGTGTTCTTCTAACGATGAGAAGCCGCGGGAGGACATGCAACCAAGTTCCTGCGGACATTGGCTTTTGCTTCCTATGCACACTGCCTCGTGCAACCATCCAGGGTGCTTTGGGCGCAGAGCCGCTGAAGCAGCATTTCTTTCACATCGGGTACGGCAACAACAGCGTCGTCACAAATTTCACCTTTACGGCCGCGAGGTTGTATGTACTTTGCTATTCCGTTATCGGGATGATACTCTTGAATAGCTTTGGGCCAATGCTGCTTCGAAGCACCGAGAAGGAAGAAACACAGCGGCGGCTGGATTCTACAGACTCGGAAGCTGCTTCTGAGAGCGCGCTTCTGGCGGAATCACCATCTGCTGAGGCCAGTGGGTGACATGAACCTACTTTAATCACCAAGGGTTTTCTGAGCGAGGTGACCAGGAGTGTGTAGACAATTGGCTAGTAAAGTATTCCGGGAAGTGTATGCGGAGGATTGAGCTGTCCTGGCCACAGCAGGACGAACTCTCGCAGCAAGGCTCTTCCACACCACAGCTGGAGAAGGTGGCGTCTCGCTCGGCCAGCTCGGTGGCATCAGGGGAGTCGCACTGGCAGGAGTGGTTTCGAGCGCAAGGCGTCTCATGCATTGTCACGCTCCTCAGGCCACCAGGTGCAGGTTGCTGTAAGTTAGCGGTAAGTGCTTGCAAAGCACCCTGACAGGACCAGGGAGGCATGTTGCACACTTTCGAGTCCAAGAATTCAACATGGCGCCCATCCTGCGAAGTCCTCAAAGGGTACAAGACAACCTGCCGCGCAACAGCTTCAAAGCAACGCCCGCCTGGGCTCCTGGCAGAAAAAGTGTTCAAGCCCGAGCACATACATTTCAAGGTGCCGGAGAGGTCGACGATGCAGCGGCTTTTGCGGCCACGTGGACGGCACGCCGAAGGAAGGCTGCACACGGTCAAGACCCCGCAAGGCGAGATTCCTCTGGTCCTGTCCTCAAACATGAAGCCAGGACAGGAAGAGACTTATCACTTTGGCCCTGATCCCGACTTCTTGATCCGGGCAGACCCTGCACCCCATGAAAGGCCAATGACCTTTCAGCTGAGAACAGCGGGAAAGCTGCAAACCATCAAGGTGATTTTTCCGCCCCGAGTTCGGGAAGTGGAGATCGTTCCAGATGCTGTGATGGTGAAGGTGCCAGATGGTGCCAAGCCGGGAGCTGCGCTGGTCCTCAAGCATCCTAATGACAACTTGTGGCTGCGGACCCAAGTTCCTCAGAAGGTCCCAGCGACTGGCTTCGTGGCCGTGGCGCTGCCATCGCTGCGATACCAGCCGAAGTCTGAAGAAGGCTTCAACTGTGGAATCGGTGACCTCTGCCGAGAGATATGCACAGAGCTTGATGAGGCACTGGAAGTCTTTGCAAGTTTCTTGCCCTTCCAAGAAGACACTGGAGCTGATGGCATGCCAAGGGCCTAAGGCGCAGCTCAAGCGGCTCAAGGGAGCTGGGAGGCTCAGAGCTGAATTGAGGCTCTCTGACTTGAGTACCCCCCGCCCCCCCCCATGTAAAAAATGGATGTGCTCTTCTCTTAGCTTATCCCGGGTGTTAAGTTGATCAGCTTAGCGGCTTAGCAACCCAGGAAAATTAGACTTTGCTTTTCCATGCTTTTCCTAATTCGGGAAGGCTCCTTGAGGGCGTGTGGCTGCTGGGCACAAAACCACAGCGTGTTTGCGTCTTCGTGAATGCAGAGATCCCGTCACATGCTGCCCTAAACCCTGCGTTAGCTTTCTGTCCCACGCCACATAGCCGCTACATCCGCGTCATCTGGGCTTCAAGCATTGGCACGGTGCCATTGTCCTGCGAGGCTGGGCTGTCGCTTTGCCCGATCACTACTTCACTTGCTTCTTTAAAAATCTGTTCGGCAGTGGCTCCTTATTGTGCATGATGTGGATGGCAGGTTCTGGATTCCTTGAATGTTCCAAGAGCAATAAGGCCTCACGGCACACTGGGCTTGTTGCTCCGGCAAAGACATTTCGCACGACCTCTGCAGCTGCTTTCCTGGAGAAGTGGGTGCTCGACCATTTTCAAAGACTGATGCGGGCCGACGCATGTTTTGCGTCGAGCTGTGCAGGTATGGCAGCAACCTTCTTGCCACCTGACGCTGCCCAGAAAGGCGGCCACAGTCAGAGTTTGGATCATGAAGCCCAACAGCATGTCCAGAAAAGACTTTGGTGTACCATACGGTGTCGGGGATGGGGTGGGCCCATGATGACAACAAGAAGCATTGACACATGGCAACCCGCCACAGTAACGTGAAGGCCCACACAGCTCCTACGCCACTCTGTGACATTCTATGACTCTTTGACTCGATGTGTTTGGCGGTTGCGATATGCGTTTCGAAGCCAAATATGTGCTATGGGGACCCAACTCGGCTTTGTTTCCGGGAGCTATTGCTTCTCGATCCCAGCCCTTCACACTTGGCTATAGCGGCTACCCACGATTCCGCTGTAAAGACCGATGGGTTTTGAACAGTTCGTCGTTGTGCGGCCCAATGCCCGCTCACGTCTCACTGCTAGTACCGGCGGGATATGCGTTTCGATTCTCGATGCCTGGTCGATTCCCCCCCCCCCCCCCCCCCCAATGATCCGTAGTACGTCTCTTCTCTTGTAATTGTAGCTCTCATCGGCGAAGCTACAGGGCTTCACGGTATTTACTGTAGTTTGTACATGTGTGCTGGCTGCGAGCCAGCGTTTCTTTTCTTCAAAGTGCAACAACGACAGTTTCAGCCATGTTTTGCATTCATTCGCCCCGTCCCCTCCCCCCCCCCGCCCCACAGTCCAGACCTTGAAGAATTGTCCTTCTATAAGGAAAGGCAAGGGACAGAAACGAAAGGGAAGCGAAGGAAATGAAAGGACAGGACAGGACAGGAAAGCAAAGAAGGAAGCGGAAAGAATGAAGGAGAAGTACGGAGAGAAGGAAGGAGCAAATGATGCAGGGAAGGACGGAAGGCAGGAAGGAAGTATGCCCAATCCCGAGGGTATTCCCAACTGGAGATGACATGCTATATTTCGCAGCATGAGCATGCGAAGCCTTCCTGGAAATGCTGAAGCTTACTCCTGCATCCGCTTGGGCGCTGCTCTGCATTCCCTCAGCACCAGCATGTTCAAGTTTGTTGTCCGATCCGCAGGCACTAACAACGGGTACGGAATGCAGTACGGACTGGGGATGGGCAGTGCTTCCTGCGCTCGACATTCTCGGTTTCTCGTGGAGTTTCTTCAATGCTTTTTAGCATGTCCTGCAGGAATGTACAACAACACCGATGAGGTGTATGGTCAAGCCCCGTACTTGAGTCGAGGCTGCAGTGGTGTAGCTTTCACTTCGAGCTCCATGCGTTCGGCTTCTGATGGAGGGTGTCGTCTTGTGCTTGCCATCTGAGGAACAACAACGGCTTTCATGCTGCAAACAACTTTGCTGAGAACAACTACGCCTTCCAGGATGCCGTGAAAGCATACAACAACGGCGGCAACATGCCTGGATTTCCCCAAAACGGATTTGGCGGAGGTTTCCAGAACGAAGCGCAGATGCCAGACTACAATGGGTTTGGCTGGCGCCAGGAATACTCGCAGGGAACAGGGCCCGAATACGAGGCACAGGAACTTTGGTCAGCAGAGGCAGACGAAGAGTTTGCCCAGGTCCACGTCTTTGGACCTCAGGGGGAGCAAGTGCCTGGAGCAGTCACCACCTTCCAGCAAGCCCAGGGGATGTTTCCACAAATCCTGGTTCACAAGCTGATAGAAGCAGGCTTCACGGCACCTACACCTATCCAGGCACACACTTGGGCCATCGGCGTGGCCGGTCGTGACCTCATCGGCATCGCCAAGACTGGCAGCGGCAAGACCCTCGCGTTCCTGATGCCCGGCTTTCTGAAGATCACACAAACTCGGTCCAGGCTGGCATCTCTCGATGTAAGCGTTGCCATTGCATGTGCGGCTAGGAGTGTGTCGTGAAGCTTTCAGGCTGCCTCAGCTCTGCGTGCTTGCGCCCACGCGTGAGCTGGCCTGCCAGATCGAGTCTGAGGCCGACCGCTTCGGTCGCGCAGCAGGAATTCGCACAGCATGCTGCGCCTGGGGCAGCATCAAAAGCTTCGCATACTGTAACATCCAAGGTTCCCTGTTACGTGAGGGCACAGGTGTGGCATCCGGGCATCCCGGGGTTGGAGAAAGGATGGTGAGCATGAGAGCGGGGCAGAGCAGAGCCAAGGCTATGGTGGGGCTCCGCGCGGCCAGCAGCTTGGTGCCCTGCGCCGTGGCGCTCAGGTTCGGCTCAACTTGGTCTGAGCGAGTGATAGCGAGTGTCGGTTCGGGTTCAATTCCGTGGTTGTTCGCGTGTCCGCGGCCCCTGTGCAGGTCATCGTTGCATGCCCAGGGAGACTGAACGATTTCCTCTCCAGTGGAGCCGTCAGCTTGTCAAACGTTTCCTACCTCGTTTTGGATGAAGCAGATCGGATGCTTGATATGGGTTACGTGGCAGAAACTAGCTGAGTGCTTGTTGATTCGAGAATGGCTGTGACTGTCAAGACACCTGAAGCGAGCGAAGGCTTCGAGCCACAGATCAGACAAGCCAGTACCTCAGTGCGTGCGCCAGGAGATGTAGGGCCCTGTAGGGCATCACGCATTTTGCAAGCCTGGTCAATTCGAAGACTGCCGTGCGAAGAGGTCATTCAGCAAATACCAGAAGACCGGCAGACGCTCCTATTTACTGCCGCTTCAACTTGCAATCACAGCCCATCGCAGTTTGGGGTGGACTCTGATGACCCATTTATTTTTTGCCCTGAGGCAACGTGGCCCCGAGAGGTTCGTTCCTTGGCAAGCGAGTTTCTCAAGCGACCCTTCCATGTGCAAACTGGCGCAGTCCACGAGATGACAGCTGCTCGAATTGATTCAGCGGCACCTGTGGCTGCCTGTTGCACTCTTGCGCTTCAAATTCTGTTCGATGGTGTACGGTCGCAGTAGCACCGGCAAAGGTGAACAAAGACATCGAGCAACGCGTCGTCTTCTGCTCTGACGAGGCGGACAAGGCCGCTCATCAGTTAGTCTCGTCAGTTCGTCTGTGCTTCCCCTAATCCCTTGTTGCACCTTGTCGTCCCTGCAAAGTGCATTTCACCGCTGCGGTATGTTGGAAGGTTCATGCAGGTTCATGCAGGAAGTCCTAATAGGTGATGTCATGGCGCCAAGGCTCAGCAGCTCCTTCAGATCCTGCACTCGCTGGGTCGTGGGGACCGCTGCTTGATCTTCTGCGAGATGAAGCGCCGCTTGGTACCAAGGGAACGCAAATCACCATAACCCTTTTGCTTTTGTCACATTTCGGCACCCGTGAACTAGACGTGCATCCGGGCTTTGACAGACCAGGCGACTTTCTAAGTCCTAATCCACAACAAGTTTTACTTCTAGGTTAGATGCTGTGACTCCTGAAGCGTGGAATGTGAATCAGTTTCTTACTCTGAGACACCATCGCATGAGTGATGAGCGGTCGTGAGTTAGTTGATGCTGGTGCATAAGCGCGACCATTGTTCGCAATGCCTCAAATGGTCGTCGGAAGCTCATGGGGCAGGAGGCCGCAAGCATACTGTGTAGAGTTTAGGGGTGGTTCGACGACAATGTGCGTTGGAACCGTTAGGCAGGGTCGACATCCCCGGAAATTGCATTCCTTCATCGCAGAAGATTGCACTATACTCAACTTGCTATGATCAGACATCTGCCCCCATCCGAACGACTCATCATTTCTCATCGGAGCAGCTGAGGAAAAAAGTCCCTACTTACTATCTGACTGTCTCCGACTCTCTCTCTCTCTCCCGCTCCTTTCGTTTCTGTTTGCCTTCTAAACTTCCTCACAGTTTTGCACACTGTGCGTCATGCTCGTCGGGTTGCTAGGTTCCTGTGAGATCCTTGCCAACGACCTGATGCAGTACCACGGAGTGCCAGCCGTCCGCATTCACGGAGACATGGCCCAGTACGAGCGGACCGGGGCCCTGGAGGCCCAGGGTTGTTGGTGGAAAGGGGAAGCATCTGAAGAGTCCAGGAGAGACGAGGTGACTGGGCAAGTGAAGCACCTTGGTCATTTCTTGCGTGCAAGGCTTTCAAAAGTGGCCAGAGCCCTATTCTTTGCGCCACAGATGTCGCTGCACGTGGGCTGGACATCAAGGTGCCTTTTTAAGCAGCAGAGAGTTGCTGGCCATCGTCTGTTGGCAGTTTTCCTGACACACTGCATGCCTACTTCTGTGTCTCTAGGCGCGCTAGCATGTGTGCCGGCCATTGCGGGTTCTGGGGTCAGCCCCGCTGCACAGGCCCCAAAACACACAGTCCCCAACAATTTCAACTGAAGAAGAGCTTGGGGCGAAAACGAGGGGGTGGGGGATGTGATATCGTCCAAGATTTCCAACCCTTGAACTCAAACTCTTGAGCACGTGCATGAGTGGGTTGTCGCTGCATGTCAGCTGCAAACGTTTCAAGGCTGGGCCGAATTCGCATCATATTGCTCTAGCTATGGTAGGGCGTCACCTGCGTCATCAACTACGACTCCGCAAGCTCCGCAAAGGACTACGTCCACCGCAACATGGCTGCATGTTTTTGACATGACCTTGTCCTGGTTCTTTGAAGATTTTGAGGCGGCATGCTAGAAGCAGATGGACAACACTTGCTTCTTCAGCGATCAAATTTGCTGGGCAAATGTCCTGAGCACTTAGGAATTGGAAGAACCGGGCGCGCCGGCCGCGCACTTGGGAATCTCGATGAAGTCACGCACAGGGTCTTGCAAGTGCAGAAGGCGCCATTTTGCATATTGAAGCATGAATGCAAATCGGTCAGGCCAGAAAGGGTTGGCCTACTCCCTGCTCTTACTCCAAAAGGAGGAGATGTGCCTGTCACGGCCAATGTGCCTCGCGTGTTTGAAACACTGTCCGAGTCATCACGTCGCAGGATAAGAAAGCCTTTGAAATTGCTTCCGTTCTTGTTCGCAGCGGCGCAGTCATTCCCCCAGAGCTCGAGAAGTACGCCCTGGCCTAAGTCCATATTATGCCTGTTGTTGTGGCGCCGACAGCACAATCAGCCTGAAGCCGAGGCCACCCAACAGACTTCCGGCAAAGGAAGGGGCAAAGGCAAAGGCCGACCTTGCTACGGGACCAAGAGAGTGCTTTCACGTTCCCCTTAGGGCTGACAGCCTCTTGCAATGAAGACCTGTCGCCAGGGAAAGGAAAGGGCAAAGGCAAAGGCAAGGATGGCAAAAGCGGAGGCTCTAAGGGCAGAGGCAAGGGAAAAGCTGGAGCCAAAGGCCAGGAATTACGGAATCTCGGGCGGAGCAGCTTTGAAGGGAGTCATGAGTCATGAAATCCCCCAATGCCAGGGAAAAGCCAGCGAGTGCCTCAGTTCCCCTAGCGCTCCGGTCCATCGGGCATATCGGGCCTCGTCTGCGCTCTATTATCCGCACTCTGGGCTGAGGTTTTGATGGACTGGGGGCCTGTGTTGAGACATGCCGCCAGCGCTGTGCGTTTGCATGTGTAGCCTAAGGGTAGGCTTGCAATCTCAGTTAGGCGATGTCTTGTGGGTGCTCAATCGTTCTATTTGGTTCAGAGCGCGGCAATCTCATTTTGGCACGAGTGCAATGCTTTGCCACAGCACTTGGTGTCAGCACGACAAAGAGCTCGCCCCCAAGCACGGAGCATCCTTTCAAGTCTCTTTGCAGCAATTTTCGGTATGCATGGGGCCAGACTCTGGTACTTTCGGTCATTTTGCCAGATGCTCCGACTGCTTGTGCGAGCTGGGTCACTTAGCTCAGAGTTCTCTGATGTACACAAAAACAGGGTTGCAATCTCCGATTTTCCTCGTGCAGACCTCGAAGAAAGGCAGACACAGTGCCCACACGCTGACTACCAGTCTCAATTTATTAAGTTATCAAAGCATAAATCACCTCCGACGGTTGGCTTGGATTTTGGAATAGATGCTAGCCTGATCTGGCTGGTTCAATGTTATGCGCGGGTGCCGTGTTGACAGCTAAATACTTTGCCACGAGCTTGGGTCAGCGGGACAGGTATGTGCTTCTACTTGTTCCTCTCAACCTTGCTAGCTCCTCTGTGGGACTCTTTTCGACCTGCTCCTCCAAGCCTTTGGCGTTGGCCAGGTTGCCGTAATGTCCAAGACAATTCGCGCCGACAAACGGCCCCTGGCAACATCCCACGTTCAGACGTGCAGCTAAGCACCTCCAAAGGGAGGCAAGTGCGGCGAGGGCTTGCTGCTGGCGCAATGCGCTGCATGCGACCCCACCGTTTATGACTTCTGCAAATGCGAAGAGTGTAGAGTGCAGGCCAGCATCGGCGATATGACAGGCAGTTACGAGCTAGGTCGGTTGCCGAAATCTCAGAAGGTTTTCTAGCATAACAGACTCTGTCTCTTAGCAAGCGATTGCAGAGACAGCCGTGGCGCAGAAGACTTTACCGCGCCAGCCGGCGTATGTCAGCGTTCATGGCAGGGCTTGGGAGAAAGGAAGCTGCTTGGACGCGCCACCGCGGTGACCGCATTGCAAGAGCTTCTGAACAGTCCTGACGGAGGACAGCCAAGCAGACTCCCTTTTGACAAAGCCATGCCCATGAAGCTGGAGAAGGTGCAGCTGCATCCCAGCTCCCTGACTTCGGTCTGCCAATCGAGCAAAAAACGCAAGAAAGCACCAACAGAGGACGACACCTTCGCTCATAGATCTAGATTCTGCTGTAAGATTAAGGATTTCTGTCCACTAGCCCGTATGTTGCCATCATACTGAGGAAGTTGTACATGCAAAAGACCTTGCACTCCGTTTCTTTGACTGCCTTTGATTCGTCTGTTTATCTTTTCTAGGTTATCTTTTCATTCGTGGGCGCTATTTTATTCTTTGTCTTGTGCCTGTAGGTGGCTTTTGGGCTGCTTCCTTGTTAAGATATTGATAATGCGCCCTTAACGAAGTGGCCTCTGTTCAGAAGATGTGGTTCACTGCCCCTTTTCTGAGAGCCCCAGCAGTGACAAAGTTTCTACAAGTCACATGTTTCGAATGCCTGCGAATTTTGGCCCCAGAGGGATTTGTGGAGTTGCTCTCCACTTGTCCCCTTCTGGCTTGCTTGGAAGGCTCGAACGGCTAGTTGTAATCTCTGATGAGAGCCACTCCAGATCCAAGTGTGGCGCCCTGATCTCCGCTGCAAGGCACTCTTGAGTGCCTCCACCGGTGATATCTTGGTGCCTGACTTGGGCATGTTGGTGTAAGCACAAGTTGAAGCTTCGTCGCACTGGCAGCTCACGCTCAGGTTTTCTTTCCATTGCATTGGCGCACCAATGCAGTACCTTAGTTTCAATGAGGCAGGGCAGAAGCCACCTTAGCCTCGTTGTTGCCTCTCTTGACGTCGGCTCCTTCCACATGTCGCACCTCCGTCGCCATGTCTTTCTTGGTTGATGTGAAAAAAGGGAGAGAAGGCTTAAGAGGCTTAAGAGGCTCAGGTACCGCCTGCGGCCCAGTTGAGTAGGGAGCCATGTGCCTTTGCAGGCTGTAGGTGGCAAGGGCCAAATCAAAGGCCTCCCCGAAGTCTGGCCGACTCGCTTCTACTGGTGTATGGTTGTCGGGGTTACGGGGGCAACTGGGCTTCTGGGCTTCCTCACGAGAAGCTGACGAAGAGCACGCCGGCAGAAGCATGCATAAGATCTACTGCAATGTGAGGAATGACCTGGCAGATCTCCGCATCAAAGACCCTAGGAGACTTGGAAAACTCCTAGATTTTCCTTCGTTGGAACCGTCGACGCATGGCCAGGAAGACAGCGACACACAGAGAGCGCTTCTGGAGCTCTCCCCTCGTTTTTTTTCTGTGGCATTGACAGTATGACATATTAGGAAGCAATAGGGTTCAATAGGACTGAAAGTGCTGAGAGTTGCCTGCGGGAGTTGGCATGCTGCTTGGCATGGGTACAGCATGCGCAGGACCCTATGCCTTTGAGAGACACCTGGGTGCTTTGGGAGCAGGCTGATGCGGCAGTTTGCAGTAATTCGCGAGTTTACACTACTTATCCAGGCTCGTTTGCCGAGGTTTTCTTGCAAAATCACTTCAATGCCACTTCAGGCTGTGCCTCCGAATGATGGCAAGGGCCAGGCGCTTAAAGAACCATCAGGTGGCCCATGCAGCGGTCCAGACTTGATCTTTGGGTTTTTTTAAGGCTCAGCCTATTCCGACTCCATGAAGGAAATTGTGCCGTTCAAGACTGCACAGGACCTTTGCATACCTCTGGCCAGTTAAAATCTATTGTTAAGTTGTTCGCATGTCTGCTGCTCTGCAAGCTGGCATTGGGCAAAAGTCTTTGGCAGGAGTTCTGGAGCATCTGGAACGGCGTTGCAACCTGAGCTTGCACAGCGCATCAGTCGGTTGGTCCCTGTTGTTTCAGGGTGCAGAAAGATCAACGTTCTGAAGCAGACAAGCGAACAGCAAAGCAGTCGCCAACCGTTCAAGGATTCTGCAACTGTTGTGTGCTGTTTAGGTGTCCACGTGCCTACCTCTCTGCCTGTTGGTGATCACAAGTGCTTCTGCATTTTAAGGTGCCCCAACCGAGTGAGCTTCTGGACAACAAGCGCATCACGAGAGACAATGACGACCCAGCATGTGTTGCCTTCCCGATCAGTGCAGAAGCCTGCCATGAAGACATGTGTATGGACGCTTGAGCCATCAAGAAGTGCACCGAGCAACCATGGACCATGCACCAGGCGGGCACCCAGATGGCAATTGATGCCATCATGATCTTTAAGCAGGGGGCGTGGCTCCCAGAATGCAATCGGGGCGTCGGGGGTCCTAATTCCTGTTTAGTTCTCGTAAGGCTTTGAAGAGGTGACTAATTCGGTGCTGGCACTGTCCATTCAAAGCACACTCTGCGGCGACTGAGCACCTCCCGCCAGTGACGGGCCTAGAATCCCTAGAAGCCTGCAGTGGAGCGCGCGAAGCGCAAAGGTCAAGCCAGAATGGGAAGATCCTCTGAATGCGAGTGGAGGGCACTTCCAGGCCAGGGATTGTTGCAAACGTTCTTCCGAGCAATCCCAAGCCGAATTACCACCTAAACAGCACAAGTTCAAGAGTCTGCTCTGCCAGGTGCAGCTCAAGGGTAGCATTGGCGGAGCACAGATAGACGAGTACTGGAACAACATTGTTCTGGGAATGGCTGCTGCCTCTGAGGGGTGGGGTTGAGATTCGTTGACAGAAAAGATGCCGAACAAGAGAGGCGGTCCCACGACCTGGGGCCTTTACTAGTTGTAGGTGCAGTAGAGCCGGTGATGACAGGGGATGGGATTTGGCTGGCTGCCCCTCAATGAGCACCTGAGCAGTTCGCGGAACATACTCTTCTTGATGATCTAGTCCAGGTCGGGGGCACTCTCGAGCCCTATGACATGATCACAGGAGTCCTGCGCTCAGCTTGTGACTGGAAGGGCAGCATCCCAGAACCTGGCACCTGGCATTGTGCAATAGGGCACGCTTTGTGCCAGAGCTGGAGTAGCTGGAGTAGCTGGAGTAGAGTGAGCAGCACATTGGTGCACAGACACCCACAGCAGGGGTGGTGGGGGGCTCTCGGAATGAAGCCCTCCTCACAATGTTTCACCCAACATGACCACCAGAAGCCCTCCTGACCATGTTTCACCCAACATGACCACCAGATGCCAGATTCGTGATTCATCATGATCCACGGTTCCGTGAAGCTCTGGTGCGCAGCCTGACCAGTGCAAGGTCCGGCTAGTGGACAAGCTTTCAGGAGCAAAGGCCGATTGCCAACTTTGAAGGTTTCTGATTGCTCTCAAGCAGATCTAGTAGCTTGATGCGACCCATTGAAAGAATAATACCCTCAGAATCCATATTCCTTGAAATGTTGTGGCATTTCTTTATTTGGAAGGCTGCTGGCATCCTCAGGATCGAGCTTTGGTTCTCCAAGTGCGCACGAACCAGTCCACGGAATGCCGTGCCTCAACATTCGGACTGGCTCCTGCCTCCCAGGTACGACCAACAAGACGCGGTCAACACATTAAAAAAGAGCATGGTCTGGACCTTTCCAGCGTGCCATGTTCGCTCCCAGTGTTTGTGGCTCCCTCCCTCCGCCCATCACCTGAGAGCACTGAGGAAAAGTGCATGTGTGAAAAGCTGGATGGCTCCGCGGGGACTGCAGTGAAGATAGAGCTCAAACGTGCGGCCCCCAACTGCTTGGAGAACATATTTCAGCGCTGGTGTGCGCATGGTTGACGCTGCGGCCGATTCAGGGGGTTTGGGGTCCTTGGCACTGCTTGATTGTGTCATTGTGTCTAATGCTCGTTAGAGCCTGCAAGTTACACAAGCTGAAAGTCCATCGCAAGCTTGGCTTCGAATCTCCAAAGAAACCTTAGGCCCTAAACCCTAGACCCTAAACCCTTCGTCAGCAATTTCAACCTGAACTTGGGCTAGTGTAACGTCTGACCTTTTCCCCGTAAACGCTTGCGACACGGGTGGGAACTAAACCTAAACCCTAAACCCTAAACCCTAAACCCTAAACCTTAAACCCTAAACCCTAAACCCTAAACCCTAACCCGCCCCCTTCACATCCGCCGCGGCCAGCTCACGCCTCCGTGGGGAAGCACTGAGGGGGGAAATGCTTTGTTGGCCAACTCGGCCCTGGCTCTTACCCTTGCCCCATCTCCAAGACAGGTTCTAGGCAACTTCCTCATGAGCCCGACGAGATGTCAGCGCAGTTGCTTCAACATGCTGCTTAGGTAAGAGTCGGCAACAGTTTATGCAGTTCTGTCCGAGTTCAGCCTTCTGCCTGGCGGTTTTGTGTAGGCATATCAGGAATATGACATCGCTACAGGAATGGTTGGGAAGTTAGTCTTGATCATGATTGTTGCCTTGATATGCTTCACTTGGTAATGGCAAGCAAAGCTGAACTCCATTTAACACTCAGCAGCCACGGATCTTTGCCTTGTCACAAGAAAGGAGATGCAAGGCTTGTAGTTGACAAAGAAGGCAAACAGATGAGATCTTCGAGGAGTGATTTTGCGGACCTCTGGTCAAGAGGCCAAGCAGAATCCCAGCTACTGAGTCTATGCCCTTGCGCCACGCAGCATGTGAACCACGGTCAGAACTCACAAGTTCGGCTGCTTCTCGAAAGAATGGCCCTTCATTTCATAGTGGTTGCCAGCAGTTGAGCAAGGACGTTCAGACATGTTGGCATTGGATATTTCTGAATCTGACTGTGGCCCACAACCTCATGTAGATCGATACCTTGCCGAGGCCGGATGCTCACTTTGCCAAGCGTAGCTCTGGCAAAATTTTGCGTAGCTTCTCAGCCGGCGTTAAAAAAAGCATTATGCCCAGGGACAGGCTTGAAGTCTACCCGGCGGACAGATTCTCTAGAAGCTGCGGCCAGCAGAGAAAAGTAGGCACGAAGAACCTCAAAAGATCAGTTTTGATTTCACCTCGCACGTTGTCACAAGACATGGCCGCACGCAGCCAGTCAGCCTGGCTCTCACAGCGAATGTTTCCTTGCACCGCTCCGAATTTGCCAGCCAAGTCAAAGACACAAGCAAGCGCTTGATTTACATGCTGGCTTTCTTTCATGTCGCTGTCGCCCTGGCCAAGTGGCCAAAATGGCCTCTTTGAGCAGGCGTAACTTAAAGCAACCAAGCTCAAGGAGATTAGCAAAAACACAACAACCAACCATCATTTCAGAGAGCACTCCTTCGAAGGTGCGCCAGGTCTTGCAGCGGCGCTTCGCACAGTGCTTTCGCACTTAGACGACTTTTTGACCTTTCGGTGTGTTCCTCGGAGGCACCGCCGACAGTGCAGGCCTGAGGCCCCAGCCAGAGCCACCAGCAATTGGACCGAATGTCAGTGCAGAAGGAGCAGAAGTGTAGAACAGTAGAACAGTCGCAGTAGATTCAGTAGATGGTTGCTTGTCATTCCAGAAAAAAGCAAGAGCCTCGCATCCAGAGTGGCCCCACTGTACCAGCATTGAAGTTATCTGGCTCAGCACCGAATGAGTCAACATGGAGTGCAGCTGTGCCCGAAAGGGGTGCCGAGAAGTTTTGCGAAAGACACTTGATAGATACAAGGCAGACAAGCCCAATGCTACAAGTGCTGATACTATGTGCAGTTGTGCTTGGACAAGAATACAGATACCCTAACCCAAATCAAAGAACACTCTCCCCAGTTGGGGATGACATGACATGTGCATGGGATAGCCCATTCAAGGATAGGACGGCGTAGCTTTTGCGTTATGGACGAAAACAGCCGCTTGCCGTCATGTGCCATTCATGAGCCACTACAGCAGAATGACAAGGGATGTTGTAGGGTGGCTAGTGGCAACAGTAATAGCTAAGAAGAGGTATTGCAGCAACGGCTTCGCATTGTGCTGCAGGGTGTGGCTCGAAGAACATGGGTATCGCGAGGGCTGTGGGAGCATTCATGGATGGGTTGCGTTGCTAGCCGCCAGGAGGTGTACGATGAAATCCCAGAGTCTGCCGAGTTCTTTAGAAGGCAGCAACGTTCTGAAACACTGCTGGCTTCCGGGGGCAAGGGTGCTGAGAACGTGCTGAGAATGGCTAGAATGAATTAAGCGAGCTCACGACGAAATGCAATTGACGTTTTCGGAGTATCTGTTTGCGAACTCCAGGTATGCGCTTGGCAAGAAGCTGGGTGAAGGAGCCTTTGGCCAGGTGAGGTTGGCCACCGAGATCACAACGAAGAAGGACACAAGAATCAGAACCAGTGCTCAGCTTTTGTCAGCCCAGGGCCTCCTTTGGAAAAAAATTGGGGGGGGGGGGGGGTTCTAGACTGGGGCATGGTGCTGTAGACCCTGGTGAGGAGTTTGCGGTGAAGGTTGCGGATGTTCGAACACAGGAGAGCCGCAACGTTGTGGGTGTGTCTTGGCTGGGCAACTGCATCCTCAAACACACTTTCAGTTCTTTCTCGGCTGTATAATTTACCTGTCAGAGTGGGCAACTCAAGAGCGCGGGGGGCGCTGCGGCTCCCAGTGCAGGTGAGCAAGCGAAGAAAAAGGAACATCGAGCGAGAGATCTACATGTGGCGACTTGCCAGTGAAGCCAAAATCACGCAAGTCACAAGCTTAGAAGCCGCCTTCTACTGCGGCGGGTTTTATTACATGGTCTGCGAGATCTGCAAGAGACACCCAGCTTTCCCAGCAGCGGTTCCCCGAAGAACCCTCAAGTGGCTTACCTGCAAAATAAGTTTTTGCGGTGGCCGCAGCGGACACTCTCAGGAAATCTCATGCAGCACCTACTGCATGTCAAGACTCTTGCCGAAGACGAGTTTGCTACACTGGCCTCGGAGATGCTGAAAGGAATCCATCATCTCCACACCATAGGGCTCGTGCACAGAGAGGCTGAGCAAAGACTTCATCCTTACTTTGCAGAATCAGAACCACAAGCTGCGAGAGCGGCGTGAGCATGTGCGAACCGCGAACCCCTCGACTCATCCCATGTAGCCAAGGACATCAAGCCAGAGAATTTCTTGTGTGCGGACAAGACTGGCTTCCAGCTCAAACTCTGCGATTTTGGCCTTGCATTGAAGCAGCCGAGAAAGGGGAAGCTATCCGGCATTGGTGGCACCGCCCCTTACATGGCCCCGGAGACCTTGGTGCTGCGAAGGGGGCTGCAGTCCAAACCCACCTTCCACAAGGAAGCATCTGTGGAGAATTTGGATGTGGGCAACTAGGGCCTTAGTAGGCTTTAACGTGGTTTAACATCAATGGTTTGCACCAAGTTTGCCTTCAGCTCAGACCCTTCGGGCATGTAGGGCCAGGTTTTCGGCATGCCTGACAGGAAGTGGATGTATGGGCCTTCGGAGTAATCCTTTACCTCATCCTCTTTGGCAAGTTTCCGTACATGCCACCTGGAGAGGCCACGGCTGAAACAATGAAGTGCCTTGCAGTGATGTGGGGGTTGTCCAAGATTGGGGGGGGGGGGGGGGTACCCTTTCTGGGGGCCCCTGTATAAGGATTCTCGTATTTGGGTTTCTATTCGGGGCCCCTTACTTTCGCAAACCCCCCCATGCTCTTCTCGAGATTTTTGGTGTCAGCTTCGGGGAGAGCGTGGCCTTGAGAAGACGAGGGCTCTCATGGTTAGGGCAGATCCAAAATTGGGGGTTTCCGAAAAAAGGGGGTACCCTTTTGTAATCAGGATCATAGCATTTTGGGGTACGCTAAGGGGTTTTCCCCCCTTTTTTTGGACAAAAAAACCCAATCCAAGGCATGCCATCAAGCACGACAACCCTCCTCTTCACTTCCCGGAGTCGCAGTCCTCGCTTGCCTTGATGCTGACCACGCGGGTGCCACTTGCAGGGGTCCATCCCGAGTAGCAAAGAATAGTTTACAATACTAGTCCTAGTAGTAGTACTAGCAGTAGTACTAGTAGTAGTAGTAGTAGTAGTAGTAGTAGTAGTAGTAGTAGTAGTAGTAGTAGTAGTAGTAGTAGTAGTAGTAGTAGTAGTCGTGGTGGTGGTGGTAGTAGTAGTAGTAGTAGTAGTAGTAGTAGTAGTAGTAGCAGTAGTAGTAGTAGTAGTGGTGGTGGTGGTGGTGGTGGTAGTAGTAGTAGTAGTCGTCGTCGTCGTAGTACTACTACTACTACTACTACTACTACTACTACTACTACTACTACTACTACTACTACTACTACTACTACTACTACTACTACTAATGACAATAAGAATAAGAATAGTAATAATGACAGGAATATAATACTGGATTTCTAAGTTAAGTGAATAAGTGAACTACATGAACACAGTAAACTCACTATATTATATCTCCAGTAAATAAGAAGTAAAAAATCATGCATTCCAGCGCTCACACTTTTATTCACTTAATAATGTATCGCCTGGATGTAATAATAATATAATAAGAAGAGAAAAACCACAATCATACTGTTCTACATCACATATAATATAATGATAGTAAGGGCATCCAGACTTACCACTCGGGAAGATGCACGAGCACGATCATTCTGAGATACTCACAATGGCAGCTTGAGCACTTTGTTTAGAATTGCCTGTCATGGATATACGATTCAGAAGTGGAATAGCTATAAAAACAGAACTGGTGACTTTGGCATGAAGTTGAAGATCGATGCGTTCACTGACTCGGCATACTCGGCCGTGGTACGGGGGCATACTCACATGCAACCATAGCTGCCGCAAGACCAGCATGAATAAAGGCGTTCAACAGTCACCCTCGCACTGACGAATATGCAAGAGCTGTTCCAAGTCGCGCCCCCATGTTCCCGAGCTACTTTGACATAGCTGAATACAGGGGTCAGGGGTCAGCTTCCCGTACCAGGTACTGGTTCGAGATCCCCGTCGGCGCATTACAGCCAAGGATGCCCTGCAAGACCCATTTGTTCTTCAGGCAGCAGGGTCATGAGAGGCATGTGATTACTGGCGCTTCGCCCGCCCGCCAAAGGCTTCTGGAATGGTGGGCAGGTGGGGCAACGAACCAGGAGGATCAAGGCTTGCGATCCACAGCAAAGGCATGGCAAAGGCTAAGAAGAACCAGTGTCTTCATGGAGCTCCGACTTACTGCATTTTGCAGCCCATTTAAAGAGGCCTCGGTGTTTTTTTAGCACATGTTGTCGATCATTTTAGTGCGTTTAAAAATGTTCACAAAAAGACGCCACAGAGGTTATTTGTGCCGAAAGCCCACATACGCCCTCGGGGCATCTGCTGGCTTGTTGCCAGCAGCTCCCTTCAGGGCGATGTGGGGAACCATGTTCTGGAAGTGGTGCACTAGCAGTCACTAGCAGACTAGCACGTTCTCTCCCTCTGTCTGAGCCTCAATAAAAAACCCTGCCTAAGCCAGACTGAGACTTTCTCTTGGGTGGTGGTTTGCTCTGAGTTTGGTCCTGCCTTGTAGTTTTTTGAGCAGGTGCAGTGGCAGAATTGTAGGTCCTGCTTCAAGGATTGCACCTTCTGATCGTCAGCTCGCGGGTTGCTCCTGCTGAGTGGTTGGCCCCAGCCAATTATGCGGATGGGCACAACTTTGGATTGTCCGAGCGCAAGCGATCAAGACTCAGAGCAGCATAAACATAAATTCAACGACTGCTGAATGCCTCGACTGAAGTCAGGATCGAGGGGCACTGTCTAAACGACACCGCCCTGCATGAGCCCAACAGCAATGAGTCAACACGGCATCAGTTGATAGACTGACTGGATCAAGGCCCAAAGAACGGCTGCACAGAGCTGCCACCACAGATAGGCTTGGATAGGTCTGGGATCCGCCTCATGCACAACTTGGACAAGGGACATGGTCAGGACAGCCAGCAAGATCGCAGCACGTGCGAAGCGAAGCTTTTGCGTGAGTCCGTTGAGATGAAGCCATCCTTGAAACCAATGAGCCCGTCTCAAAGCCAGAATAGCATGTCGAGGAACACTTTCTCCCAGACTCTTCCTTTTTTCTTCGACTGCCAAGTTTAGGAACAAACACGACGGGCTGCACCCACCCCTGCGACGTCATCATAACATGACCCACCAACTTGGAACCCGCACAAGCCAGCGAAGGGCTGAATCATCGAGTCGTGGCGCAGGCCAATGCGCATGCCAGTCGACAAGACTCGCGGGGAAGTGACCTGCGGGTGTCTGTGCGAGATGCAAAGGACCCGGGGTATGGGGTTCTTGCTGTTTCGTGCCCACAGGGTTCTTGGTTTCTTAAACGGTTCAAGACAAGGTCGCCCACTGAGGCACCTTGATGTTTTAGGGACTTGCGTATCTATGTTGCGGAGCTTGCGGAGCCCTTTCCAATTCGCTTGCAGCATCCTGGAGCTCTGCCCTCAGGACATGGCGGAGAAGTTGAGGGAGTTCCAAATCAGCGAAAACACGCAGCAAGACTTAGAAAGCCGGCTGAGCCTTGCTTGCAGTCCACGCCTCTGGCCAAATCTGTGCCACGCATCTTGTCAGTCACGGCTGCACTTTGAAGCCATGTGAAAGGAAGACTGTGACGGCGAAAAGTGGTGGTATCTGGTTCTCCGAAGGAGATGAAACGCTCGTCTCGCCAACCCAGTCCCTGAACTCAGTTTCTGCGCGGGTGCGCGGCTCAGATGGGGATCTGTCGGCGCAAGCACCTCTCAGTTATCTCGGCCACCTGACTCAGCCTCGGGTACGTTGACAATACCATTAGCAGACTCGAGCGCGCCAAGGCGGACTCGAGAATCAAGAAGGACAAGAAGCCAGTCTCACGCGACAAATTCGGATCCTCGACTCTAAAGGCCTTTCAGGTGCAGGCGTGTTTGCTTGTCCAGTTCGCCGTGTCTGGACATGCATACCTCAGCAGCACCACCTTAATAGACCCCGAGAGCCAGGAGGGTTCTTGGGCTCTGCATTTCAGAGACGGGCGAGAGTTTATAGGCTACACACATCCTGCACCTTCCCGGCAGTCACAGAGCCAATCGTCACCGAGGAACACATTCCGGTGTCGTCTCCGAGGCCGGCAGAGCTTGGCTTTAGTTGCTTCTTTGCGGCTTGACAATGTCTTGACCTAGATGCACGGACAAGAGGCTGAGAGGTCTTGAGAGGGCAGTTCTGGAGTGGACCTCTAGCCTAGCCTAGCCTCAAAATGATTGGTTTGAACATGTGAGGAGCAGGCGAGCAAGCCAGTTGAAAAGGTGGCTTCGATTCCTGAGGAAGTAGGTGAGCCCAGAGCAGCTTGAGTGGTACTTGGAGGGTCACAGAGTTCCGACAACAGTGGGCATTGTGAACGTTGCGAATCCTTGCATGATGCACCCAACTCAAGCCAGCAAATGCTGCCGTGTGTCACTAAAGTTAGATGCACGCATGGCTATTTAAAGTAGACCCATGGCAATCAGCCACAGGGGTACATCACGGTCTGTCGGATCGTCTTCCGTGTGCGACGCCACCGGAATGCTCAGGTTCCCGCCTTTGGGACCCCTGCACAGGATCTGAACCTAGAACATCCTAGAACCATTCCCTACTACGAGGTCGTACATCTGTCAAGCCCTGCCCTGCCCTGTGCATGAGCTTGACGATGCCGAGAACTGCTCAAGGTCTACGCGCTTCACCAATAGGTCGTGCAGGGTTGTTCAGAGTCATGCACAGAGTGTAGCAAATCCTCTAAGCATGAGAACGTTGCCTGCTTTGCATGCCCTGCCGGATGAAGCGGAGATTTCAAGCCTGAGCGCGCTCCAAAAAAAGGCAGCGCGACGAAAATCTACGTGTTTGGATGCTTGACTTCCATCATGCATGCTTCGCATCACTTTCCTCTCCCGCCCTTGGTGTGGGGCTGTTGGATTTTGAAGTCAGCCGTGCTCTTCGCCTCCGTGCTTCCTCGCCCGGTGGCCCGGTCTCCTGCCTCCTGGAGTGCCCCACCCCCCAGAGAAGCCCACAAACAATCGCGATAATTTTGCCGAGTTTCCCGGAGTGCCTCTTCAGAGGAGCCAGAGTCCAACCGAGCATCCCTGGAGTGATCGAGTGCTCTGAGAAGCCCGCAGACAGTCCCGCCGGATCCCTGAGAAGCGCAGCTGCCGAGCGGCCAAGCCCGCGGAGAGATCTCTGGAGCGTTTTGAGCAGTATGGCTCCCGCATCAGGTAGCTGTGGGGTGGGGATGCTTGAAGTACATATGTTAGGTGCAATCAGCCGGGCATTCTTTATGACCTTTCATCAAACGCTGAGGGACGTCTTGGCAAATCCCAAGGGGCGCTGGAACTCGAAGAGTAGGTTTCAATCATCGTCAGTGAGTGAGCGAGGAGCGGCCTAAAGGCCTTGCCTAAGGCGCTGTCCCAGCTTCATAGGGGGCTCCGTAACCGTCATCGCCCCCTCCACTTGGAGTTCACGCTGGCCCGGCGTCCCAGGCTCCGCAACCGTCATTGCCCGGCAAAAAAAACAGGTCATCGTCAGAATAAAACATTGAGATCCCGAGCATGCCCTGCAGGATTCTTCCCGAAAACCGGTTGTGTCGCCCACTCGAAAGCCTGAACTTCCATGCGGCAGGCTTCAGGCATTGGTCGAGCTGAAAGCCCTAGCAGCACCCCTCCCCCCAAGAAGAAAAATATGCAAAACAGGACTCACTTCCACTTATGGTTCGAGCCCACATTATCAGCAGAATCCTAGCTAAGACGTTTGTCATCTCACCCTATACAGTTATATGTACATATACATATTTGCGTACTCGTCTTTTCATACAGCTTTCGAAGTTTTGTTCTTCATATTTTTGCGACTGAAATGTCTCGATCATCTAGCAAGGTAGATTGGTAAATCTCTAAGAACACCGTGCGCATGACACCATGCCCCATGTTGCGGATGCCGTTTAAGCACGGCTCCGTACTCCTCGTGAAGAATCTTTCGTTCTTTTTATCAGCTTGTTGTTCCATTGGAACCATATTCGGGTAGCTGCATAGATCACTGACTCAACCAAGGCAGGTCTGTCAGTCGTTGGCCTGGC